GGGTCTATATTTCCTGCACCTCAACCTAAATATCATATTCTCTACTGGTGTCTTATTTGTAGAGTAGTTAGCAACAAAATTCTCATTGCCTGTGTCAGCAACTTGCCAAAGGAAGCATGATGATTGCCACTTGCCATCCCACATGTGACCTAAGCATGGAAGCTGGTTTTAAGATTACTGTAGTAGTTAGAGACAAACTTGACAGGATCTGAGTTGCCTCTGTGGGTATTTGCCTTTTATTACCAGGTTTTGGCTCATGGCTTCGCCCAGGCACTGCTTTTAGATGATGCTGGCTCAGTCCTGGCCATGGCTACCAGCTGGGATGAACTAGAAATTCAGGAGGAAGCGGAGTCTGGCAGCAGCATCACATCCAAGATCAGACTCCCTATCCAGGTAAGCCAGTGCCCCACCTGCTCTGGGGAAAGGAAAAAAGATTTTAGAAAATCATTAACTGACAGCTTCTAAGGAAGAGCTGCAAGGAGTATTTATAACTTTCTGCTGGTGAGGGGTTGCGGGGGAAGGCAAAGTGGATGTAGGGCCAAGTAAATAGACTGTTCGAGGAGTCGGTTAATGATTCTTTCCTTTTGCAGCATGGGCCCTGGGCTAGTTAGAGAACCACTTACACTAAAGTGAACATAGCAACATCAAACAGTGCCACCAGCCAGGTCAACCCCAGGCCACCAAGGGAATGACAGCAAATGTCACACTTATCTGTTAACTGGTCTGTAAGAGGGGTTGATTGGAGAGGTCAAGGTCTTGGCATATAAGCCAAGATAAATACACCCGTCTTTACCGAGTCCCATTTAATTGGTGCATGTTGGCGACTCGACACTCCTTTGTTCCTTTAGCCATCCTGGTATGTACAGTCCTTCCTGTTCAGCTTGTGCCAGGAAATTAATCGGGTTGGAGGCCATGCCCTGCCCAAGGTGACGCTGCAAGAGATGCTGAAAAGCTGTATGGTTCAAGTAGTAGCTGCCTATGAGAAACTCTCTGGAGAAAACCAGATGAAGGTAGGTGTTTTAAGTTTTCTCCATTAAAAACTGAAATAAAACCTTCCCTTCACTTTCCTTGGGTTTGGGCAGTGCACATCCAGGGTTAAGGGTCACTGAGCCCAGTCTATTTAGGTGGCTTCCAACGCTGTGAGTTTAATTACACCCACTCTCAGGGGTCAGGCAGGTCTTCATGAAAAGGCCATCCAGTACCTCAGGAGGAAGAAAGCCTCAGAGTAACCAAGGCCCACTGCCCCACGCTGACGGGGCTTAGAGCAAACCATTAACATTGGGGTTAAATGTGGTCACGTTAAATACTTGGGGCACCTGGAAGGGTTGGAAGGATTCCAAAGCACAACCTGTGGCACACAAGGCATGTTTTTAAAGGAGTTTCGGTCTCCCAACCCTCTGCTCCCGGCTCACTGGCTATGAAGCATTCTGCCCTTGCTGTGCGCTCCTCTTTAGTAATGTTTTTAGGACAGAACCACCTCCCGACTCCGGAAAGAATTCAGGGAAGTCTTTTCTCCAGAGCTTCCTCACGCTGCCTTTAAAACGACCATCTCCAGCACCCAAAACCTTTTTGTCAGGGCTGGGGGGTCTCCTCCTGGTTGTTGGGGTTTTTCGTTTTCAGACCAAGTTTCTAACCTGTTGTGTTGCTGAGATTCAACTGGCCATACGGGTATAAAAAGCTTCTGCTTCTGAAATAAGCTGTAACTCAACCAAAACAGGAAGCTATTTATTATGCTCATACAGTCATCTCCCTTAATGGGTGGGGACGGGGAATTCATTTGCAGAAAGAAGGTGCATTTCCAATGACCCAGAATCGGGCACTGCAGCTGCTTTATGATCTGCGTTATCTCAACATTGTTCTGGCAGCCAAGGGTGAAGAGGTGAAAAGTGGTCGCAGCAAACAGGACTCCAGGTATCCTCACCCACCCTTTCCTACCACTCTCCCAAAACAGCCTCTTCCAAATGCAAACAGCCCCTTTCCTGGGGAGCCACCTAAGAGCCTTATTACACGTCAGTCCTGTTTGTTTTAAATAGTAAGTGCTCATATTACCTGCAAGATAAATAATGACCACCTGCTGGATAAATTCCATGCTCCAGTGTAGTAAGTGGACTCTCATTCCTCTTTCTTGTGAGTCAGCCTACCAACTGCTGGGTATAATTTGAGCCTCTCGAGTGCCCTCCCTAAAAACATGGGGAAAGAATGGACCCGACTTAAGACATCACAGTCGGCTTAAAACTCTGAGGATTACTTAAGCACAATGATCAGTGACTAGTGGTACTAAGCCAGTAATTAAGGAGAATAAATCCAGTTCCAGGATTTCTACAGCACTCAAATCTCAGAAGATGGGTGTTTGTCCTAAAAAACGTGAAGAATCATCATCATCCTCATGTCTTTTCTTCAGAACCGAGAAAGTGACTGACTATTTGGAAGCACTCATTGACCCATTTGACCTGGATGTTTTCACACCCCACCTCAACAGCAACCTGAATCGCCTGGTGCAGCGCACTTCCGTGAGTCAAGTCACAATAATGAACAGGCTCTAGTGCTAGTGCTCCTGGGGGCAGTGCTGGGAGCAGGGAAAGACACAGGTAGCTGAGTTCAGTTATAAAGACTGGAAGAGGATTAGGTAAAATCCGGTGCTGAGGCAACTGTCATCTGACACCTTTAGTTGTAGATAAGTATTATTCAGGTTTTTCCAAGGACTCGGAGGAATAAAAGAGCCATGTGACTCCGAGATTCTGACTGGTGCAGTGGTAACAGTAATTTTGAAGCATTAACACACTGAAAAAAACCTTCCCCAAAAGGACAGTTAGAAACAGAAAGCAATGACTGATTATTAACAGAAACAATCATCTTTTAACTGGACAGTAAAAACCCAGCATGTTTTGTACGTTTCTCGTGTGTCAGGTTCTCTTTGGACTGGTCACCGGGACAGAGAATCAGTTCACCCCCAGGAGCAGTACATTCAACTCCCAAGAACCCCATAACATACTGCCACTGGCATCAAGTCAGATCAGGTAATGGTTCTGCGAAGCTTTTGTTGGGCCCCCGGCTTCCTGTTCATGCTACTGAAACTCCTTTGTCTTGTCTTGGAGGTTTGGGCTTCTTCCACTGAGCATGACAAGCACTCGAAAGGCCAAATCCACCAGCAGAAGCATTGAATCAAAAGCCCAGGTTAGTGCAGTAACCAAGAGGTTCATCCCTTTTAATCCTGTCCCATCTCCCACCAAACACCACCCAGTTGGCTCCCCTTTAAAGAATCGATAAAGAACTGAAGGACAAAATGCACTAATGCTGTTTTTAATGGCGGCGCAACGTAGAAGTACAGGTTTTACTAGCTTGAGCTGATAGGTTTAAAAGATGTCCATTTACTTATCAAGTAGCCTCATAACAGATATGGATCTCAGGCTGCCAAGGCTGTAGAAAATATGCAAGTATGATGGAGGTTATTCCTTAGTTTCTGTAGGAAAAAAGGGTAGACTGCTAACCCAGTACTGTCGTTATACTTATGTGGAAAAAAACTGATTTGTTTCAGTGAAGGTTTCATCTTCCATTTCTTTTACTTGGGTGGTAAATAAAAGGAAATTTGCTTTCTCAAGTTTTACAGTTTCTTGTTAATACACGTTTTGTTTCAATAGGCTGCCATCCATTAAGCCTGCAGGAGGATCCGGGGTATTTCTGCATTGTGTTGTATACATGTGTGTTTGAGAGCTCAAATGCTGGCTTCTTACAGCATTTAGTCATTTGCTTTATTGCTATACAAAATATTAGCAACGAATCCTTTCCATATTCCCTGCCATCAAACCCATTAAGATCCAAAATCCTTGTCAAACCTCAGGTTTTAAAACTTGGGAGATGGTAGTAAAAAAAAATTCTTGCACAAACCATCCACTCCATAAGCACTGGCCTGTACAATACCTTTCCACCACAATTCTAAATTCGTACTTCAAATCACTGACCTTTTAAATTCTGTCCATAGTAGAAAAACAAATCATGGAAAGGAGGTCTGTATTTACCCTTTTCCTACAATAGTTCTCATCTTCAAAGTTTAGCTGTCCCCATGTCCTTTTCAAACCCCCTGAACTAGAGCTATCCGTGCTTCTCAGATCTGCTGTGTGCAGTGTGCACTCCGAGTGGAGCAGAGGGTGTGGGCAGGCAGGAGGATCTGGGTGGACTCTAAGGCACTTTCCTCTTCATGCAATGGCAGGTTGTCCCCCCGGCACTCTCCCGAGCAGATGACCCGGCGCATCCTGGCTCCTTATTCAGACAGCTTGTCAGTGAGGAAGAAGACTCATCTACACCTTCATTATTCAAACTTGGTTGGCTCTCTAGTATGACTAAATAACACGGGGACATATCCATCACTCTCCAAATAAATACTACTGTATCATTTCTACTAAAGGTGCCTCTGCTCGTTTATCTCTAAGCCATGCCAGTCTTTTCCAGTTTCAATGGTGGAATGCGGCCCCTTGTTACCATTAGGGGGTTAGTTTAAGCATAGAGTAAATCCTTGGCCAACAGTTTCATGACACTTGTGACTTCAGACATCAGTTCAGATAGCTTACATTTTGTCAGCATTCAACAATGCCTTAATTCTCAACACTAAAAAGTGGAATTATCAATGAGATCACATAAGCTGCCAACAGAACAAGTCTGTGAGTAAGACAAAAAATCATTACGTATTTCTTGACTGTCGGAACTGCCATGTTCTCTACCAAGTCTGAGATGTATGCTCTGGAGCAATGATGGTGACAGAGGTGATCTGGGTATACAAGAGTCTGAAAGACATTCTCTCTGGAAATACAAATATATAACAAAGAGAGAAGACAGTTATTAGGGAGGGTGCTCACTTACACAGTCTCACTTGGATCGCACTGTTCTGTTACAAAGGAGAGTAACAGGACATCTACATACTAAGAGGTAGTATGGCAATTTCAGTGCAAGACTGAATCAAGCTTTCTATATTTTGGAAAAATGTATGCTTTTTCATGGAAACTATATACTCTTCACTAGTTTATTGAATTTAAAAAATCGGATATCCCGCACTTTTAAAAGGCCTTTTTACATGAATTTCTAATTGACAGATTTGGAAATCAGTCTGAATTGGACGAACTATGGTTCAACACGCAGATGAGATTTCCTCATACCATTACCTTGACATGGATTTGATACCCACCCTCAAAAGAATCCTATAAAAAATTGCTTCAAAGCCCCTTTAAAATTGCAATAGTGCAGCAAAACCACAAGTAAACAACGGCCTGTTAACCTGTTATTTCAAATATAGACTGAAAAGCCAACAGGCGTTTTTTTTTGTGCAATTTTTGAAACATCGTAAGATGAAATATCAAATCTGCACAGCGCTGTCCCTTCACAGAAGGCAAGAAACCACCCGCCCATCATGTGGGAGGCCGTCCTCGGTGCTGTAGGCTGTGGAAGTGGGCCTCCTTCAGGGTCTGGTTGATGTGGAAGTACAGGCCTTGGCACAGTGCGGACTGCTCGGGCGCGGGCTGGGGGGTGTTGGGGCTGGACCCCGTGACGATGTGGTTTAAGCTGCTCTCGGGCCCACTGGCCCTGTCCGGGCTGTTGATGCTGCTGCTGCTGCTGCCGCTGCTGCTCCCGCCACTGTCACTGCTTGAAGACTGGAAAGAAAAAGGAACGGTTTCATGACCCTGGCTATTTTGTCTCTTAAGAACTCTGCTGTAGTTTAATTTATGGTGCCCTATTTAAGAATATTCTTCCTACCCAGATTGAGGAGTATCAGCATCAAAACACACACTGAGCTTTACAGTTTACGAAGTACGTTCACCCAAGATACTTTACCCTCACAACTACCTTGTTACAGATGAGTGGGGTTACTGTCCCCATTACACATCCCTAAGAAGTAACAGGGTCCATATTCAAGCACAGGCCCTCTGCAAATCCCTTCAACTACACCTTACCTCCTTTACATGGCTCCTCTACCTGCCTTTGTCATTCATTATATTAGCATTTTTGCAGTTCAGTGTTGTGTGTGTGCATGAACTTGTCTAATTTTTTTAATGCAACTAACGACTTAAGTGTCTTAGTCATCTTCAAGAAGCTGCTCAGACACCCCTAATAAGAAATCATGCAGAAATCACCTTCTTCCCAATAGTAGGAGCCTCAAAAGAGAAGGCAATGGTAAGGACCCTTTCAGAATTATGGTACTGTGCAATTTTGATTTCTGAGAATTGACAACCCAACCACTCTTCTCTGTTTAGAACTCACTACAAAATTGTACTTGAAGGAATCAATACAAGATAAAGTTAGAATTCGAATAATTAATGATTTGGTGTAAATTTTGTGGGAGTCATTAGCCCTTTGATAAATCTAAGTTTATATTCCCTTAGACAAAAATACTGATGTTTTGGAATGTCTGCTTACAACAATGTAAAATCTACACACAAGAAAAAAAAGACTGGGAAGAAACAGCCCATGGTAGTTACGTTAAAATGGAGGGATTACAGATGCTTATTTTTTCTACTCTTTACTATAAATTTGTTTCAATGTGGTTATTATGTATCTGCATTATCAAAATAAATGTATAAATAAAATAAAATGTTTTAAGATAGATACTTTAAAAATGATTTTTAAAATACCAAAAGTGACACCTAATAATACATATATTATAATCTATATGGGTATATGGGAATCACAAGTCCTTTTACAATGCAATAAGCTTAGAGAAATTATGTTGTAATTTATAAAGGGACATTGGGTTGAGGCCTAATTTGATATTACTACTTAAAAATACAGGGTGGGGTAAAAGCAGGTTACAGTTGTTTGTATGGAAAAACAATACAATAACTACTAAATAATAATATAAGAGTAAATCCTGCGTTCTGTGCACCAACAACTGTGAACCTGCTTTTGCTGCCCCCTGTCTGTACATAAATGCCAAAAATAGCAAAGGATGGATGCTCACAAAAGGCACCCATTATTAATAAGGCTTAAACCAGGAACTGTTGTGGTCCCTTGGTCATTGGGAGCTACCTGATACAGGGTCACATATCCTATTGCCTATAGGTAGTGGGTGACAACCTATCCATATTTCTACCAACAAAAAACATTTCATGAATGCATTATAAATGGGCTGAGTGGCATCAGATAGCAGGGTTAGCAGCAATAATTACATTTACTTAAAGACTTAAGATGTCAAAGCCAATTCAAAAGCAAAAACTGATTAAAAGCCTCTCCTGACCTAGAGTGTACAACAACCCAGAACTGCTGCTGGTACACTTGGTGACACTGAATATTTAATTAGCAGGTTACTACACTAGATAAGAAACCCACCGCACAGAAAACTTTGTTTCCTCTTAGTCTGTTTTCTTTGTCTTTCGTTACAGGTACTGTCTGAAAATTAAGGCAAGAACTAGAATCAGTTTCTAGTAAAGTCAAGTTTCTATCTCAAATTATATTTATTTCACAATATAACAGCAAAAGTGACATCATTCTGAGAAGAAAGTTCTTTAAAATAAACAGGTTAGAAAAAAGTTCTGTACAATGATCATAAAAAAGGGGGAGGGGCCACAAATACACTAGCAATTTCTAGTCCATTTTAAAAATCTTGTAACCTTACAAAGACATGTATAAAAATGTTTAGTGTGGCCTTGTTTATAACAGCTAGAAACTGCAAACAACCAAAACTTCTAACAATAGGGAGACTGGTTAAATTATAATATATGTATATAAAGTGTAATACATAACTTACAATTGGTAACAATGAAATTCTATTCAGCTATTAATGACATATATACACACCAAGACAGAAAGCAGTCTTTAACATCTTTTTTACAGGTTACAGAACAGTATACATGCCAGACGGTTTTAAAATGTTTTGTAATGTAGATATGTATGTACACCAAAAATAATCTGGAAGGATATATGTGCCAAAATATTTAGAATTTGGACCTTCTATTTTTTAATAATAGAAGTAGCTTCAACAAAAAAAAAAGATATATTTTGAGGGAAAAAATTTGATCCTGAGTTGGATTCACTTGCATTGAGGAGGCCAATGGTACTTTCAAACTAATGAAAGACAGCCTACAGGGAACCAGGGTGGGGTCCGGAAGCATTAGATACATACTACTGTCATCAAAGGTAAACGTAACACATCACTTCCAAGACACTTTGGCTCTATTTTCTGCCAATTCAAGTCTTCTCACTATTGGGGAGGCTTTTCAGAGTAACCTTACAAAGACTGACCAGTGTTTTCAAAGGAAGGGTGGAAACCATTTGGTGGGTAGTAAGCAGCATAAAAACAAAAAACAAAAAACAGTGCAACATAGTGGCTGTTCTGTGCAATGTTTTTTCAATTATTCACAAATATATTTAATATCTACTGAGTCACAGTATAAAACATGTCTATGAAACAGGATCAAAAATGTTTGGAAGTCATTGTAACCAGTCTCATTAACACTGTGGGCCATCAAAGTGGTCTACTCTACCAGATAAAGAACATTCATTACTTACTTTTAACCCTAAAGGCACGAAATCAAATTTTTAACTCAATCAGTGTTTTAAGATATACACAGGAGTACATCGTTTTGTCTTATAAAACCAAAAACTTGAACAGGAAAAAATACAGTCCTGTTTCACAGACTGAGTGGAACTTTAAGTATCAAATCCATGGGGGAGGAGGGAGCACTATCTGACTGCATGGTGTTGAGTCTTGGCACAGAACGTTTACCTTGTTCCTATTCCTGTTCTTAAAGAGACCTACACAAGTTCTCTTACTGAACGAGTCCAGAAACCCTGGGGCTAAGCATGGCTCCTCCACCAGGAACCCGTCCCCAGGCTCCCGATTCCCCAGAGACTCCCCATCACCCAAATCCACAGCGAGAGAGCCCATTTCTTTTCTCTGAACTTTCCATTTGAGCTGAGTGCTGACATTGACCAGGGTGTTCTTTATGACAACTTTGTATTAAATCAAAAGAGAACAAGGTCATGATCTGTGAAATGAAAATCCCTTGTGAATCCACGTATGCAAGCACCGTAGGGTTACATTTATGAAGATTCTGACAGAGTCTCTCTCTCTCCAAATGTACAAAGACAACTCATAAGAATCCCATGGCAAAGATCTGTGTGAAAAGGGAGGATTCCAAGTTAGCTCAGGCAGTAATAAAACCAACCTGTGTGCCCTGGTAACCGCAGACACCTGGGTGAGACCCAGAAGAATGCGGTCTGTTTTAGAGTCCCCTGGAGGCTTTTTCAGCAGTGTGCATGCCAGGGTCCCACCTCAGGAAAACCTGGCTCAAGGGGGCACAGATTATTCTGATGCCCAGCCACTGTCCAAACACATGTGAGCCCCTGCTGTGTACCGGGAGGCACTGCACTAAGGATCCCTAGTCATGTATTTACCAAGCTTCATCAAGAATATGGTGGCAACACGGCCACTGACAAGTCCAGTGCACGGCCAACGCAGTGACAGGAACCTAGCAAGCAGCGTGCATGGAGGGAGCCAGGAGAGGCTCCTTAAAATGGATGGTGTTTGAACTGGGCCTAGAGGATGAGGAAGAATCTTTACAAGGAGGGCGGGGAACAAGCCGGGGAACAATAAGCAAAAGCAGCGGTGTTCTGGGCAGGCAAAGCTAATGGAGAGGTGTGGCTGTGCCCACTCCAGGAAGCATCGGTGAGACAACAGTACTCGTGCATACGAGGTCCTGGATGGTAAGTGCCCAAAGTCTGCAAGAACCGTTTCCCAGTGTGTAGGACACGTTCAGAGCTGTACTCGGGAGTGAGGGTGCTAGGGACCTACTGAGATGAACGAGGCTGGGGAGACCACAGAGACCAACAGGGAAGTTTTCTAGAACATCAAGCAGCAGAGCAGGCCACCGCGAGGAGCGTGGCAATGTCAATGAAGGGGTGTATCTCACACCCAGAGGGAGATGGAGGGGATTCAGAAAGAGAGACATCCAAACTGACACCCAACACTTTAGACACTTACCAAATACAGCTGACACTTGAACCACGTGGGGGTTTGTTAGGGGCACTGACCCCCTGAGCAGTCAAAAATCCACATATAACTTCTGACTACCCCAAACTTAACTACTAATAGCCTACTGTTGACTGGAAGTCTTACCGGTAACATCAACAGTCAATTAACACATGTTTTGTATGTTATATATACACTGTATTTGTATAATAAAGGAAGCTAAAGAAAAGATGTTAAGAAAGTCATAAGAAGAAAAAATACACTTGTAGCACTGTACAGACTTTAACAAATGTTGGGAACCGCCCTGCCTGGTTTCAGAAGCTGTAACCACCCCCAAGGCTAAGGCTGAGGGAGCAACCTTGGACCGTAAGTCACCAAGGAGACAAAAACTTATCTCCCTGGCAAAAGTGCCACTTCTGCTCCTTTTACTTCATCCATAACTGGCCCCCAATGCTTGGCCGGTTAGCCAATGATGGGTAAGATTCCCCAAGGGGGGAATGGACCTAAGACAGTAACAATCATGTGGGAGACCCCCAGGAAAGGACCTCTGGGGGCTACAGCAAAAGGGGGTGATGGACCCTGGCTCCTCGGCTTTGACATAGCCCGAGTCCTCATTCTGTCTGTGAGAAATCTCCTAATCTCCTGGCTACCTTACTTCCCTTGCTCCACCTAAACCTAAAACAATGACAGAGGGTGGTGCAGCCCTGTGCTGGAAAGGGCGGGTTCCCTGGGTGATCAGGCCTAAGGAAGAATATATAAAATCCTGTGAAACCTGCTTTGTTTAGAATGCTCTCAATTAAATAAGGGTCCAAGCAAGAAGTTTATTCCTCAAAGTTTTATAGCTCTTTAGCTATCTGACTCTGACTCAAAATAGGCCCTCAGAGTTCTTTGTTATCTGTTTGATCCTTACTTCCTGGCAATGATTAATGAGCTTTACCTGAATTCTTGTGCAAATGAACCCAATAAAAGGCCATTGAGGAACAGGCTCCTGGCCCTTCTCCTCTGAGAGATCAGCCACCTTTCCTCCCCAAGCAGATCAAGTCTTGGTAGACTTATTCTCATCCATGGCGGCTGGAGGTGCGGGAGGAGGGGGAGACCCTGGGGGCGGAGCCCCCCACAAACAAATGCACATTTAAATGGACCTGCACAGTTCAAATGCGTGTTGTTCAAGGGTCAAGTGTACTGGTTGCTCAGTACACATATGATGAATGCAAAGTGTCAGTGAGCTTTGAGAAAAGTTCTGTGGCGTAAGGAGGAAGCCAGAAACCAGAGAAGAAAGGTGGGTAGACAGGAGGCACTGGCAGCAGGTACAAAGAAGGGAGAGGCTGACAGTAAGCAGGAAGGAGAATGCAGCACTGAGCTACAGAAAAATACAGCAGAGATGAACTGGGAAGGGAAAGAATACAGGAGTACTATTGAAAGAAGCAGTGGCTGCTTCAGAAGACTGAAGAGATGCAGAGAAGGGTGAAATACTAGAAGTGGCTTTCAGGATCTTTGCTAGAATACAGAGCAGATGAAGAATGGCAGAGGGACACTTCCTTCTCTTTGGCAGAAAGTCTTATTCCTACAAGAAGATGTAGAAATCCTGATGCAGAGGTTGGGAAGTTGAGGAAGTTCATTTTCTTAGTCCACAGAGGTCACACCATACACCACAGGGAAAGAACTCCTGGTCCATCAGCTGGGCCTACCTTTCACTTTATGTTCCCAGGGCATGAAGTGAGTGTAAGAGATAACCCCTAGTAAATACCCATGGTAGAAACCAATCAATTCTAAAGATTACTTCTGCTAATAACCTTTAGAAAGTGCCCCAGGCAGGAATGTTAATTACTGAGCCTCTCTGCTTTGCAAAAACAGAATCAGAATATATGTATATATTTATTACCTAAAGCTATATTGCTTTCTCTCCTTAATTAGAAAAGCAGATCACCAGTGCATTTTATTTTCTTTCAAGCCCCAGCTTTCCCTCATATCTATCTCCCCATTCACTGGTGCTTTTAATTTACATGAGCCTCAAAAGAAAAGTCTCTCTCACTCTATACACTATATCCCTGGAGTCACAGTGAAGTTCATTCTAAAGCTGCTGTGGAATCTGGATTAAGTGCGAAAGATGATCCTAGCCAACTCGACCAGAACATCTAATGTAAAATCCTGCGTCTCCAAAGTGTCCAATTATGTAAGAGCGCTCCCGGTCTGCCTATACCCACAAGACAGGAAGATTCAAAATGAATTCAGTGGGTTATTTACACCGCTTTCTAAAGATGCAAGGATAGAAAATGCAGGTGGTCACTTTCTGTGTCAATACTTACAAGGTTGGACCATATAATGAGTTTTAAGTTCCTTTGTAACTAAAATATTCTATGATCTATCACTTTATTTTGTTTAAATTTCAACAGGCCAAAAAACAAATCTGTCCTGCACAAAAACACGTGTACGCACGGACCCACGCACCGACCCTCATTACTTCACAGACTTAATGTTCAGTTTCAGCATGAAACTTCTTGCAGCAGCTTTTGATACTGGGAGTTGATGTGATGTATACAAACATTTCAAGGACTTAAAACTGTGGGCAGTTTCTTAAAATATACAGGACAAATCACACTAACTTTCTGAAAGGATGGCTCCTCCATTTTGAATGGACCTTTTTAGACATTAATTTCAGACTTAATTTGCTGTATGGTTATCAATGCATAACCCTGACAGTTTTACCCAAAACACTTCTTGGGATTTAAAACACTTTAATCCGTATAATGGATTAAAAATGAGAATGGGCAAAAACTAAGAGCCTTAAGATACCTTTGAAAAAGAATGCTAAATATTCCATTGTCATCTAAATTCACCCTAGTAAAAAAAAATCACCTGACATTCAGCTCCCTCTAATTCTTAAAACTAATAGACTTATAGAATCCTAATTTTAACCATATATGGATTCCCCTGGTTCTGTTGTTTTCTAATATGTCACACCTCTACATTCCCATAAGAGTACCCTTGGGATTTTAGGATTAAGACATCAAAAACACTCCCCTTCCAGTAAGGACAAGAAAAAGGCAGAGGCTGTTCTAGGTAAGCCACTTCTGTGTTATCTCCACTTTTTCTCATCCTGTACGTGTTACTTCACAGTGATCTGAAAAATCAAGGTGGTCTTGGTAAGTTAAAGAGTAAAAAAACTGGGGCCTTGTAAAAAGGTACAGCTTTTATTTACTCAGGCAGCAGCACTTTTTATAAGGCACACACCTGGGTGCCAGAGGCTGGATTTACATAGAAACGTCTAGTGTACTTTGTAGATAAAGGTATTAAAACTGAAGGCAAAGAGTACTACTCATACAAGACACAATTCAAACCAAAAAGGCCAACCCCTAAAAGAACAAATTTGTAAGTTAAATAGAGCTAGTTTTTACCCATCCAAATAATTATCCAAGCTCAGGAAATGTCACTACCATTGTACAGAAAGCAACAGGAAGACACAGATTGATATATCATTTCACCTCTCGCTCACAGAGAGAAAAACAAGCCAGACTTAGACAGAAACTAACGCGATTCATACAGAATGGCTTTTACCAAAAAAATTTTACTCCTATACTAGTAATTTATATATCAGGTTCACAAGTCATTAAATCTAAGACACTGGGATTCAAGGTCTTCAATTCAAACACCAATTAGATTTTTTTTGGGGGAGGGGACACTAGAAAAAGTCTTCACTTTTTCTAGACAGAAATAAAAAATGGCTTTCTAGCTAATTCCAGGTCATAGCACTGAACTGGAAAACCACTTTCCAGCTGCTCTTCTGTTTTTCCATGGCTCCAGAGCAACAGAGGACCCTGCTGCCCCTCGTTAGGGTTGGCGCCTTACGGTGTCTCGGAACCCCCACCCCATCTTCTGGGAGAGGGCAGGCGCCCTGGTGCGGATCAAGCTGCTCTGCACTCACGTTCGAGTGCACTGACCCCGTCTCTTACTAGCTGTGTATCTTTGCACAAATGACTTTCTTTTTCTGTGCCCCAATTTTTCTATCTGAAAAGTAGAATAATGATACCTATATTAAAATGACAGGAAGAAAATGCCCAAGTAGAGTAAAAGTTTCTTTCTACATAACTCATCTGGCAAGTCAATTCATGTTCTTTAGCTTCATAGTATCTAGGAAAAAAGAGGCATGTGCTACGTCCATTTTCAGGCAATCATGACTGACTTGTGGCACAGTTTAACAGTTTAACAGAAATCAAAGCCTGAACATCTTACTTCCCAGTACTTGCCAATATTATTACATTAAAAATATATATGTAACTTTTGGGAAATTTAAATCTTAGAATTAAAACAAGTTCCTTCCAAACGAAAGTTCTCCAAGTTGCAAGAAAAAGAATTCTAAAATGATTTAAGTATTCCAGGAAGGACAAAGATAAGTTTCTCTTAATGAGTTAGTCTTAAGGAAACTTGCCTCTTCCCCAGAGCTAAAAGGTAACATTTTCACTAATATAATTTGTTATGTAAATTAATAAAATTAATAATCCATTATAATAAATCACTTTAGTATTTCTCCTGTTACACACAATTGTCAAAAAGCAGACAAATGCCCCTAACCCTGCTATTTCTGTGTTGTAAGCATAATGACCCGGTCCATTGGTGACAATTCAATTATTTAGGGCTTAACTTTCCATTTTAAAGACTTTCCCTGCCTTTTGCTTCTCTGGCTCTGCCTGGGTTCACTGGGCCTCATTACTGGTTAATGCCACTGGCCAGGGAAGCAAAGCACCAGAGGCCATTAGCTCAGATGGCTGGTAAAGGCTCAGCGACAAGGCTGACACAGAGGGCCGCAACTGCCCGTGAAGGCTGCGGGTGCGTTCAGGTTACCATGACAGACAAAGAGTGCCTGGCCGACCGCGAGTGATAACAAACGCAACCTAGTCCATCCCTAGACTAGAGACTGACAGGGTGGTTCAACCACTGACTTTCCTTGGACAAGTAAGAACAAGACTCACAAACCTGCAGGCTCAGTAACAACACCTTGTTTTCTTCTGTGATAATAATATACAGGTTTCAGAAAGGGCGTGAAGGTCCCTTTCCACAAACAGCAATTAAAACTAAACAAGAACTAAGATTAGGGAGTTTCACTAAAAACAAAGATGAGAAATGTTTAATATTTAAATATGACAATTTATATTCCTGTTTTCAGGCATCAAAACTGTACATACAGGCCCTGACTGGTGTCGCTTAGTGGACTGGGCGTCCGATCAGGGCACATGCTTGGGTTGCTGGCTAGGTCCCTGGTTGTGTCACATTTAGCATGTGAGAGATGGCTGATTGACGTTTCTCTCCCTCTTATTCTTCCCCACTTCCCCTCTCTTTAAAAATAAGTACATAAGCCCTGGCTGGTGTGGCTCAGTGGAATGAGGACCAGACTATGAACCAAAGGGCTGCAGGTTTGATTCCCAGTCAGGGCACATGCCTGGGTTGCGGGCCAGGTCCTCAGTATGGGACGCTCAAGAGGCAACCACACATTGATGTTTCTCTCTCTTTCTCCCTCCCTTCCCTTCTCTAAAAAAATATTTTTTTTAAAGTACATAATATCTTTTGTTAAAAAGGAGGGGAAAGAAAACTATACATATAGGGGAAAAGACCCATAGAGAGAGTTAGACCTACTATTACTATGCCTTAGAAGGAATGTGACTAGCATATAGTGAAATTTACATACAGATACAGGTAAAGAAATATTCAAAGCAGTCACTCACTATACACGCTTTTAAAGAATAGGCTCATAATTCAAAAGAATGATGGAGACTCAAGTATGCTACAGCTTTAGCACTGGATGTTCATTGTAGCCTCTAATCTTTGGTTTTCTTTCATCCCTGAGGTTCCCCAATTTACCACATTAAACAAAGCTCAATAATTTTTTTGTTAATCACTTTTTTTAAAGGAGGAAAAAGTGTGATAGGAAGATTTTTAAAAGAGGGATGGAAGCTACAGAAACTCAAGGCTCTCCATAAAAGGATCTATTTGCGCTTTTCATTAACAGTTCCTCAGTAAGTCTGACCCACGTGAGAGTTACTCATCCCCCACCCGGGAGGGAGTTACTTTGGATTTCTGGCAAAGACTAGATATAGGTCAATCCCTATTATTGCAAACTAATTAAATTACAAATTACCTTATTGTGCAAGAATTATGATATACAGAATTCTGCTTGAAGTTATGAGGCTCAAGCTTAGGCCATCTTTGCCACCAGGGAGTTTCCTTGTCAAGGCACCTAATTTAATAGCAGCATCACTTTAATGTGAGCTTCCCTACCACGCTGTGGCTCAGCCTTTCGAGTACATGTCGAGCGCAAGGAGAATTCCTCCCCAGTGTGCATGTGACATACTCTTAGGAAGCCAAAATGTTGGGAGCTCTTTCCTCCCCTCCACGCTCTCTCCCTGCTACTCTGCCTCCTGCAGCAGCTCTCTTTAGAACAACATAATGAAAAAGCAAAAACAGGATTCTGTGTATTTTACAGTATGTATTGCAAATGCTTTAGTTTCTTTGAAAAATATGGGAATTGAAACAAAATATGCTTGCCTTAAAGACACTAATGACTTATAAACTATTACAAACAAGTTGGTTTTTGAAATATCAATTAGGGAGTTCAAAGAAGGGCTTGCAATGGTTCATGAAACCTCTAACAGAAACAACCTGAGGGGGTGGTGTGTATGACTAGGGTGGGGGCATGGACCGTTTTGCTGGGGAGAGGGTGCATAGCTTCCTCAAAGGGGTCATGGCTCAAGAAAAGGGTGAAACCACTGCAATCAAATAGGTCACTTTTATTTACCCTAAGAATAATCTTAATTACATGGAAGGAACAGGGTTATTTAGCTCCAGCAGTGAAAATAGCAGAGACTCGGGCCACACTTCCTACCTCTGTGTCCCAGGAATCGTGGAAGACGGGGTTTCTACTACTCCTTTTGGTCTGGGGGGGAAGGTGGTGGTCTTCCTCATTGCCATTCCTTCTCCTTTTCCTGAAATTTAATCACAGGAGGAAAATAAAAATTCAACAATTCATCTTTTAGACACTTAAAATTGTAAACCATGAGAAGATAGAAATTTTCCCCCTCACCTGAGAACATGTAACTCATCAGAGGATAGCCCAATAGGTTAAAATTGGAAGTACACGATCACTAGGCAGAACAGCAAACATACAATAGTAGCAGTAAGGTCAAGCTTAAATTAATGTGACTAATACCAAAAAAGAGGCCTGACGATTTTAAATGCCTACTACAAATAAATCAGAGCAGGAAGGTAATGACTGAGCTTTCCGACTCCAGCCAATTAAGGTTATTGTCTTTCTACACTTCCTGAAATTACAATTCCAAGTTAATTTTACTCCCTTCCAAACGACAACACTGTGTATTGTATTAAGACAGGAACAGCTGCCTTTGCCTATTTTACCCTGAAAATCCATACAAAAATTTTGGTGCTACACAACAATATCCACAGAGGTTTATAGTAGCTGCTAATCTTTAGTTTTTCTTCATCCCTGATTTTCTCCCAATTATCATGTTAAACAAAAGCACTGGAAAAGCTGCTCCTGGACACAAAATTGATTATTCTGGCTACGTTTAGCATTTAGAGTCATGATATAAATTACTTCCCCAGATTGTTTCTTTGAGACTGTAGCACAAGCTGCTTAAACCATATAGGTTTAAAGAAAAGTCAGGCCTGGCTGGTGCAGCTCAGTGGAGTGAGCAGCAGCCTGGAAACCAAAAGGTTACCAGTTTGATTCCCAGTCAAAGCAAATGCCTGGGTTGGGGGCCAGGTCCCCAGCTGGGGGGCACGCCAGAGGCAACTGCTCAGTGTGTCTCTCATGCATTGATGTTTCTCTTCCTACTTCTCCCTCCTTTCCTCTCTCTCTAGAAATAAATAAAATGTTTTTTAAAAGAGAAAAATCAGACACCTTTCTCAGTTAAGTGTTCTCAAATGTGCAAGAGAGACAAAAATGTGTATGATGTTTCCTATGCAAGAGTCAAGTGTTGTCAAAAAAACTTCTAAACCCCAGCCAGAACACAAATTATAGGAGGCATCACTTTAAGTCAAATTGCCTGGAACTGTCCTGTCCAATAGTGTAGCCACTAACACATGTGGCTAATTAAATTTCAATTAATTAAAATTACATAAAATTTAAAACCCAGTCCCTTAGCCATACTAGCCACATGTCAGCTAGTGGTCACTGTATTGAACAGCACAGACATAGGTGGCTCCCATCACTGCAGAAAATGCTGTAGGACAGTATTGACCAGAGGCCAATTCACACAAAGAAACATAATCTGCTATGATGAAAACTCTTGAAAGGTTCAAATTTTTAGAGCTGGAAAGAAAAACCAGCTTTTTGGAAAGTACTAAATTTCAGCATACAGTATCTTCTCTACAGTTACATACCTTCTATGTGAGTAGGGTGGCTTATTGGGGCAGGCCCTTAATTCTAAAGTTTTGAGGTGAGGTCTGGATATTGAAGAAACCTGATCACCCTGAGTTCAATTCCCTGTACTCAGCATCATTCTGAGTACATCTAGTGTTATTAATGAGTTTGGATCCAGTTTAGGTTTGGAATGATAAATGCTGGGTTCATAGTTCTGATAAAGCATGAACCAACCAACCAGCAGAGAGCTACACCATTTCTTTATTTCTAAGGCTCAGCATTTTGGAAAATAAGATCATCATTTCTGCTTCCTACCTTTCTTCCAGGAGATTAGATCATATTTATACATTATCTTAAAATATTTGGAAGCTAAAAACTAGATGAATATCAGTTTTTAATAATCACTAAGTACATGTTATTATCATAGATTTGAACCAAGAAGTTGCTTTCATCCTATTATGACCAGAGAATGTTCATGGGAACATGAAGAAGTTACAGAGCAATGTCTACGGGAAGGCCAGTTGACATCCAAAGAGATAGTCATGACATGGCACTATGTTGGTCCCCAAACTCTTCTTTTATCAGTGTGACAACAGCTGATTGTGCTTTGGGCTGCTGACTCACTCTTACCAAACTCAGAAACCTGACCAAAACTTTCCGATTTCCTCATTTATTTATTCTTGTCTTACCAGTGACATGAATACAAATATCAAGAAGACTGCGAGGCAGAAAAAGTATAAAAACAGAGAATAAGCTAGTTTTACAGATTTTAACTAAACTCTGGGAAAGTCACATGAACTATCTCAGTCTCATAAGTAACTGATTTCTCAAAGTACCAGAATTATCTCTTTTGCCTGGTAAGGGCCCTGTCTTTTGAATGAACTGGATAAAAAATGAGCTCTACTTGTTTTTCAATTCTCCTTTTTCCAGGTTCTTTGCAGATTCTGTCCTGTAAACATTCTACTTTCAACAATATCATCAATTGGCAAGATTACGGTTTCATGCTCAAGGCTATCCACACAATCAGTCAGATTATAGCTTTCAACATTAATGCCACAGACCAGGTTATAATTTTAGCAGTCATCCTATAATCGATTATATTCTCCCTAACCATCTAGTTACAGATTATTATTTAGCATCTGCTACTTCTAAGGATAGCTGCTTACATGACTTCATCATGTCACTTCTCTGCAATCTTTCTGTTGTCTCCTAGAGACTGGGCATAGAAAAAACCCTGAAGAGTAGAAGGTAGTGGTTTTCAAAAAATTATTAACAAGTAACAGAAAGCTTTCTCCCTACCTCCCCCCACCCCCAATCCCTCAGGATATGAGATAAAGGATCTGTTTTGGTTAAAGAAAGGGCTTCCTTGCCACACATCCACTTCTCTCTGGCTATCCCAGTATACTGTGAAACAGTTCGAAAAACCACCATCTTTGACCAACTCTTCATCTTAAAATTGAGGAAACAGCACCAGGGAAGTGAACTAACTCCAAAATACCAAGATAGCTGGAGCTGGCAGAGCTGGTCCACTGCGCATCACGAAACACGGGGTAAAGAGAAAAGTAGGTAAGAAACCTCCATCCCAATCAAATGACCCCTTTTATAGTAGTAAGTTATCAGTATAAACATGTTGGCATTATTTGTGTACTAGAGAAAAGGAATCTGCTACCAATATAAATACACTGACAGTATTTGTATACAATGTTGGGTGAAAGGAATACTTTCATAGGAAATATTTTAACTTTTTCAGATATGTGAGGCATCTCAGGAGACTATCAGAACACTATAAACTGGGGTTGAGAAGAAAAAAAATGGCAGATCAGGCTTACTATACTTAAGGATTTTGTTACTAATTCTGACATGTCAGTGGCAATTGGGCCCCTAATGTCAAATTTAGTCCACTCATATTTTCTATAGAAAGAGGCTTCATGCCTCACTCACTACATGACCCAAAATATTCCTATGCATAAGTATGAGAAACCATAGCTTTTCATTACTGAACCAAATAACCTCAGGAAGCTTTCCAGAATTTTTATTCCATGAATTAACTATCCTCCGGAGCAGGGTCCTCATCAAAAGACTGTCAGTTATATTCACAGCTAATGAAAACATAGAACAAGAAAATATACAGCATAATCTATCAAGGCAATCCTATTTTATTCACTTAAGACTCATTGAGACTATTATGAACTAAAGGAAAGAGGCGTGAACCTGGAAAGACCTAGGTATGTCAGCTGAGCTCTCTAAATTTGTTTTGTCATCAGAAAAACATAAGAGTCGGACTTGGTGACCTAAATGTTTTCACTTCAAACTCCACAATGAAGGATTTTTCTAATTTGACATAAAGCTGATCCTCTTCCTTCTGGGGTACAAAATCCCAATTTTCTCCTTTCCACATTGTAACAGGAGTAACTAAGAAGGAAGAATTGCAGGTTGGTCCGGACTCTGCTCAACATATGTCATACAAGCCTGAAACCCATAACCCAGGTCTAAGGCCAGGCTCCGTGGGAAAGTGCTGTATCGCGATATAATCTTCCCTCCCTCCCACCTTCGTAGGCAACGGCTCCTCATCCAGTTTAGAATCCACTGTTCTAACGCCAGGGCCAGAGAGACTCCACCAGGCACTTCGGTCATTTGCCCTTCCGTGTTCACAACCGTTCAGGGCACAAATTCTTCAGTCTAACCTAATCCCGCCCAGCTGCAGGGTTAAACTCAATCCTTCTTTCTGACCTTGGGGAGCAGGCAGCTCCCCGTCCCTTCACAGATGCACTAGTGGCTCCTACTCGAAGATTAGACATTCTTCCCATCCCCCCTCCTAAATTTAGGACACGGACGCTTTAGGGCCACACTCTCTTTTCCGGGACCGACTAGACTTCATATCAAACAGAGAAAGATGAGGCTGGGAAAAGATCAGGTTGTGGGAAGACTTGGACCCTGGAGTCACTCCACCAATACCCTCAGGGATCAGGTACCAGAGCACCCTCACATCCCGCTCCCCTCCTCCCCCAGACTAGAGCACCTAGATAAAGACCCGCAAAGCCCACGCTTGATCGGATCCCGCTTTGTGCGCCCCCATCGACTCCATCCTTCAAGACAGAGACGAGGGGTTGGAAAGGAGAGGGGGATCCCTGTGGTCTCACCTGGGGCGGAGGCGCTCGCTCATGGCAGCCGGTGGAGGGGAGCGACGCGGAGCCGCACTGCGAGAAGAGGGAACAGAGGGTGTTGTGCTTCGGCGGCCGCCACGCCCACCCCCTCGGGCCTTGGCTCTCGCCGCGGCTCGGGTGGACTGTGCCGGTGGTGAGTACCCCTCGGTGGGACCCGTACCACTGCTACTTCCGGCGTCTGCTCCGCGCCCCCCCATGTCGCAGCCGCCGTGGTACCGCCCTTTCGCGGCTGCGCAGTGACGCGAACCCGGCCGCGCCGATCGGTAACCCCGCCTACAGGAAAAGGCGGGCTTGGAGGGGGAGGAGCTATTGGGAACCTCTGGGAGAAAAAGGACCTCGCTAGAGTGTCGGGAGTTTTCGCCTGTTCACAGCTTAGCGGGAACAGCGTAAAAGTCGAGCAAGATTTAAATGAAATGAGATTATGTCACAATAATACGATCTAAGTATTTGAGTTAAGTCCCTGTGAGGTAAAAACTTTTTTAAAAAATAGCTGAGAAGTATCAGGCAGTCATGTAGGACTGCCTGCCGCGGTCCCGGGACCGGGAGTTGGGCAGCTGCGCGTGAGATGCTTTGGGGGTCTTGTCGCGGGGGCTACTTGGGTATTTATGGCTGGCGAGGTGAGAACGCTGGTTTAGGTGAGTCTTGACAGGCGGGGCTTTTTCTTCTACGGCCCCAGCCCTAGGTCTGGAAGTGATTGTCATGAGCCGAGAGGGGAGTCGATCGGTGGCGAGCCAGATGGGGGTCTTCCCGGAGTCGCAGGATGAGTCCCTTTTGGCGTCTTGGCGACTCCAGCGCCTCGGACCGCGGAGCTACCTGGCGGTCCCCGTTCTCTCCGCTGGAAGCTGCAAGACAGCTTTCTGAAAAGTAAGGGAGCAGGGTAGAGGGCAGGCGAAACAAGGTGGCTGGCGGAGGAAAGGTTTGCTGGAGAGCGCAGGAGGTGAGGGCGAAGATTAACGTAACTTTAAGATCGGCCCTCTGCCCGGGAGGCTGATGAAGTCCGGAGCATCAAAAGAGAACTTCTCAGCTGATAACTCAGTTATTTCTATTTTGTTCAATATTGTCGACTTCTCTGATTTTGTCTTGCACAGGTTGACATTCAAATCTAGTTTAATTCTGTCAAACCCGGGAACGGCGATCGGGAGGCATGGAGATCCAGGAGCAACAACCGCAAAATTAGCATCTTTACAGAGAAGGCCAGGTAAGTAGTCAGACACCCTCAATAAGACGTTATCCTGTGAGGGTAAAGAGATTTTCTAGTAAGGTTAAATGTGAAGGTGGAGTACTGTAGAGGCGGACAGTCGAACAGAGGTCTCAAAAAGTAATTAGCCTAGGGCCAGAGACTGGCCTTAGTTGTGTTTTTGTAAATAAGTGACCCATAATTTTCATTATATTGTCAAAGGGGTTACCTCCCAGGTAAGAATAATCAGTGTAAGTCTATTGGCAGAAAACAGTTTTTTGCCTGACTTCATGTAGGATAAGGTGGGTTGGTTGCTTTCATAAATGGTATGGCCAAGATTGTATCTACTTGTCCTGTAAATGGTTTCAGACTCTGAAACCACTTTTTGACCTACTTAGTGGTCACAAGAACCTCATACTTATAGCACTTTGTAATAACATTTGCATGTTTAGATGCAGAGAAGGAATTCATTAAGCAAGTATCACATGCCCAGCTCAGTACTGGTTTTGAGAATACAACTGTGCACAGAATAGATATGTCCTTGCCCTTTGCAGCTTACTAATATGTTAAATGTCAGTAGAGCTTCATTTCTCATGCTTACATAATGGAAGTGCTAGTATTTTCTTCTTGCACCCAGTGAATCCTCCATATATAATACTTGAGAAACCATTACTATAATCAGTCATCTTCAAATCATGTCCTGGTTTGTTGCTTTTTTGAATAATGTGTTTACGGGGTTTTAACTACTTATTTACACTTATGTGATATCCAGTTGACTTGCTACAATTTTAAACAGCAACCTTTTATTCTGACTGGTATTTGGACATCTTTTCCTCCCACTGGTCTTACTTGCCTTCTAGTCAGGGGTGTGGATTTGATTGTCTTTTGTAATGATTGATTCCTAGGAGACTTCCTAAGGTAAAAATACCAAGTATAAGTGGAGCCAGGAGTACTTACCTAAAAATCAAACTATGTCTTCTATTTTCTACCTCTGTAAGAAAAAGAAGGTAGAAATAGAATAGATGAAAACAAACCTTTAAAAATTATCTTTAACCTAGGGGTTTCCAAATTAATTTTAAAAGGTATAAAACAAATAAAATATTGGTATTTGCTCAACAAATTATGTGCTCCTCATAATCTCATATTCACCTTTTTCAGGAATAGGAGAGTGACATTCCACCCAGAATGGAAGTGTGTCCTTATTGTAAGAAGCCATTTAAACGATTAAAATCCCACCTGCCCTATTGTAAGATGATACAACCAATGACACCTGCTGACCAAAATGTTTGTCAGTCCAAGCAGACCACACACCCACGTGCCAAAAAAATGAAAAGTCCAGTCAAAGACTTAATTAAAGCTAACAGGAAAGAGTTGGGGACAAAGAGTGAGAAAAGAAATACTCAGTTGATACGGGACAAACCAAAACAGACTATTGAGTCCTTTCCACTACCAGCTGTTGGTTTGGAAAAAGCAAGTAATACAAAGGCAGGTAAAGACATCAAGAATCAAATTCAATTCTCCCTCAAAATGTTAAATCCTGAACCAAAGGATTTGTTCAAGGGAGAAACAAAGGCTCAGTTTTATGCGTCAAAGACCACTATTCCTAACGGAGGACTTCCCAAAGATTTGCCTAAATCACGGGAAAGTAGAAGTAATTCTTCAGAAACTAAAGCATCTTTACCTTTTGGCCCAATGGAACCTTCGTCAAATCAAGATAGAAAATATTCTTCAGCCTTACCTAATGATGTACAAAACACTTCTGCTGATTTAAACTTGGACAAAATTGATTCCTCAAGACAGAAATGTCTAGTAAAATTACTAGAAATGCCTACTGGAGATTATCATCGTTCTCCCATGAATCTCAATGATGGAGGTAAAAGAGTAAGAACATTATGTTCAAGTGATGAGAGCGCTTCCAAAGCCAGGGACCACCTTTTGGAGGTCTGTTCTGATGTTAGAGACTCTGAGAATGAGGAAGAGCACATGGAATCACAAAGGTTAGGTTTTAAAGTTAGCCCATTAGGTAAAATCCAAGTCAAGGAGAACCCAGGAAAAGGACTTCACCTTGGAGTAGAGACACGTGGGAACCAAGGACATGCACAGAAAAGAGTATCTGCTACAGAAATGCAGGATTGCTCTTCCATGAGCAGTGACTCTAAGAACTTCAATACAGATGAGTCAGCCACAGAGAAGAAGTTTCAAGATGAGAGTCCCAATTTAAATCTGTTCACAACAAGAGAGACAACTTGCAATGATTTTCTTCCTGTATCACAGTCATGCAATCAAAGTCTTGCCTCCCTGGCCATAAAATTTCTTCAAAAAGAGAAAGCAGAAGCCTTTGATCGTGATCAAGTCCCTGATGTAAAGACACTGACGGAGAGTGAGGAGCAAGCTTCCGTGGTGCCCAAATCTGGCGTTGGGCCCCCTGCCTCACACCCTGAGTGCTGGGAGTCTTTACCTTCACCTGAGCATTATGCTTCTAAAAGCCTCATCACCAGGCAGATGAATATTGTCGACCGGAATACCCTTCCTAGCTCCCTGGGGCTGGAGTGGTTTCCAGAGCTCTATCCTGGTTATCTTGGACTAGGGGTGTTGACAGGGAAGCCTCAGTGTTGGAAATCAATGGCCCAGAAGCCTCAGCTCATCAGTCCAGAGGGGGAAAGACTGTCACAAGGTAAACATGCTCATTTTCAAGGGGCCAGCAGCTCCTACACACTACTCTGTGCCTTTTGAATTAATAAGACTCAGGATACTAATATTTTTATCCATTTAGCTTTTTTTTTTTTTCTAAACTGGGCATTTAAGTACACTGGACTTACAGTTCTAAAAACATTCCTTCTTGCCCCCAAGGTAACTGGACTATCCCTTCCCCTCTGATAGTTGCAGGTTGGGCTAGGCCAGGCTGGCTGGTGATAATGCTAATAGTTGAATTTCTACACTGGAAAGAGACATGGCCAGTAGAAGAAACTGGGTGGGCATTCAAGCTAAACAGATTCGAGAAAAACAAAGACTTCAGGGTCTACTTAAGTAGAACAAGTACTGTGTTCAGATTTCAATCAGAACCAGGTTGTACACAAAATAGCTTCCAGATTTACAGTCAAATGCAACATCTGGGAATTTAGAGTAGCAAAGAAGGTACAAGCAGACACTGTATTTGGATTTGGGGTCAGGAAAGGATTAAAACTGCCCAGGGATGCATGCCAGTTCTAGTAGGTAAGTGGAGGTGGAGGTTCAGGAGGTGAGGACCAGGAATAGAGGGTGTGGCAAGAAAGGTGTGGAAGTCCATGCACTCAAAAAATTAGTCCACAGAGAACAGGACCCAAGAGTGAAACCAGAGATTCAGCCTTGAGCTGAGCAATTAGGGTATGTGGGGGGACATCGACTGGACATTGAAATGTCTGGACTGTGAGCCAATCTTTTAAGAAGCTTTCTAGATATTCCTTGCTGATGCCTACAATAGTTTAACTAGTGGGGAGGCCTTAGGCCCAAATAGGAGCTGAGCCAAGTTCGTGGCAGTCATTTTAGGTATCCTTGTGTTTTCCTGATTGTCATCTTTAGGTGTTGGACTACCTCTCTGTTGTACTACATAAAGTTTCTTTATCTTCCTCATCAGGAAGGTTTGGATCCTCCCCTCCCCGACCTTTTTTTAGGTTTTCTAGGGGCATAGTTAAATAGAATCCTTTTTTTTTTTTTGCAAGTAGTGTTTTTGGTCCTTCAGGTTTATTTTGACAGAAGACCTATAGCAACTCAGAATAGGTTTGCACCTGAAAAACTTGTATTGTCTCTTCCTAAAAGGACATATTTTCTCCTCTGGTATATTCTATAAATGATCATGTATTCTCTAAACACCAATTTGGTCTCAAACATTTTCTTTTGTATATTAATTATCCCTTTCTGAAGATTTCAGAATGAAAGTGTATTAGGTAGAGTGTTAGCCAAAGCTCCATCTTCTTCAATGGCCTCAGCAGTCACTGGTTTTTGTACAAACATAGAGGCTCTCTACAACGTTGTCTCAGGCCCCTTCCCAGTATGAAGCACAGGATGGTATTAACATTGGTGCTGCTCTGTGGGTTTCAGAGTGCTTCCGCCTATTTTCCTGTGTTGACCTCACCACTCAGTGAAGAGAGGTGGCCAGAGTGATTGTATCTGTTTTGCAGATGATGAAACAGGCACAGAGGGGAAAGTGATCTGTCCAAGGTCATGCTGCCAGTAAACGGTAGGGTTGCAAGTAGAGCCCGGTCTCCTGAGGCCTGGTTTAATCCTTTCCATGAAACTGTGGTGTAGAAAGCATGCCCTAACTAGAAACGTAGGTGTTCGTCATATCTCTGTACTTCTCCGATTTCCAGTTGCATAATCACACAGCCCGTAGCAAATCTCTCTGGCACAGAGAAGCACTTCTTTTTTTTCTGAACCACTTTTATAGCACTTAGGAGTGTCCCTGATACATCCCCTTTTGGTTTTGGAAGAAAAGGGGAGGGGCTTGGCATCTGTCACGTGATGACCGTTTCATTGTGTTTGGTACATTACATTATTAGGTCACTTCTCCCTCATAACAACTTTGAAGTGATGTCACTGGCCCACCCTTTTTCACAGGTGAGGAATCTGAGCCTCAGACATTGAGTGACTTGCCGTGTTTGTACAGTAAGTGGCAGTCAAGGTTCAAATCCAAGTCCATCTGACTTGTACACCCGTGGTCTTTAAACTGCCTCAGACTGCTCTTTGGGGCACTCAGTGGTCAGTTTTGTGGTTGATGTAAATTATTAGTTGACAGTCACTTTAATGGGCCAACAACATAGCAATAATAAGGTAAGATACAGTAACATGTCACCAAATCACTAGGCTTGTGAGATTAAATATGAGGGATAAATAACAATCTTTCCTTTATCAGTAAGTTCCTCCACAGTGGAAGTTAGAAACTGTTATGTTCTTTCCTTTTGGTTCATCTACAATAACTGGTTAGTGTGAGTTCTATCAGACAGCGTGTGGCCATCCCAGGGCCTCTACTTCTGTTATGAACTGAAAAACTATAGCATGTAGTTCCACGATTAATGTTCAGACTTGGATGCTCTCACTGAATGAGACCCTAGGATCTCAGGCCAAGACCTGACTGCTCAGTTGGCCAAGGACTTCAAGGCCATCTAAGTCCACAAGGATTAGAAGGTAGTGTGGCAACTCAGCTTTGTCATTTCACCAGGCAGTGGCTACCTCCAGTGACTGCAAATTAAAATTTAATTTTCATGGAATCTTTGCAGAAGGGCGTGGACTATATATACTCCCTTGCTCAGGCAAGACCTTTGGTAGACCATTCAGCTTTCTTTATGTCAGGAAGCCACCTCATTTCATTGATGCTGACAGGGCCAGTGAGGTAACAATTACTGAGTTAACTGTATGTCAGCTGTGATGCCTGCATGTCTACCAGTCCTGGGATACTCGTCTTCACCCTTCTTGAAGACGAGGAAACAGTTTCAGAGAGGATCAGTAACTTGCCCGACATCAAGTGTCAGTTAATGGTTGGCAGCTTACATTGCCTGATGGCCTTTGCCAAGCTTTTGTGGGCAGCGTTTCTTCCGTTGGAATGCGGGCATCGAGGTGATGTCAGATACACTTTCCTGCGTAGGGAGACCTGTAGCATCAGCTAGTTCATACACACAGGATACCTGAGTGAGCGATGTAAAGTGAGTCCACCAGGTGAGAGGTACCCAGGGTCTGGAGAAGCATGAAAGGCTGTCTTGTCATTTTGCTGAAACAAGGTGGGACCAAAAGCTCTCATGACTGACGGAACATGGATGGTGCACTTTGGTGCCTAGGCTGGGAGGTCCCAGTGCAGACTGGTAGTTCTGAGGGTGCCACAGGGTTTTAGTAAGTCAGGAGTGAGAATTTGACAGGAGTTCAGTGGCATCAGGAGTCATTTTTTGAGGTTCAGTGAGGATTTTCATGGACTTACTACAAAAATGAGTAGTTTCTGTGGCCTGGAAGAAAGTAGATTTTGTAAGTTCAAGATTTAAATCTCAGGAGACTCAACAAGTACAACCGTCTGCAAGTCCTTGGCAATAAGAACTAGTTTCTGCTGTTGGAAGGAAAGCTTTCAGGGTCCCTGCAGGCTGGAGAATGTCCGGCTGGAAGCCCCTGGCCAAGCCTTTGTAGAATTCGGGGTGCTTAGAGATTCCTAGGCATCATCCCCCAAGACTTGAGTCTGAAGTGAAGGCCTAGAATTCATGTTTTCAGGCATCTCCTTAGTGTTGAAGAGCAGCCAAGGTGGAGAACTGCTGGTGTGGGAGACGGCTCCAGAGCAGGCGCTCTGGCCCAGCAGGGGAATGGTCTCCAACAAGTGGTGGGGGAGGCGGAAGGTGGTTGGAGAGAAAAACAGTTTATGTAACTACCAAAAGCAAAACTTGGCTGATGGGGAGACCAGAAATTACAGCGAGAAAACCACATAGGGTCATGGTTTTGTAAAGACAAAGACGCAGCTAAATAAAGGCTCTTTTCTAATCTTCAAGCAGCCTTTCCATCAACAGGGTATCCATGCGAGATGTTTGAGGTGGGGCACGCGGGGAAGGGCTTAGGGGAGTCAGGGTCAAACTTAAGCAGGAATATGACAGGGCAGGACTAGGTCCCCTGTTGGCCAGACAGTTCATGAAAGGGGGTGTTTGAGGTAAAGGAGCATGTGCGTAACCAACAGCCAGAGACCTGAGGGGTTAAGTCAGATCATGGGTCCAGGATTCCATGTGATGGAATAGGGAGGATCATAGTGATGATAGGAAGGGTTAAAGGTCTAGAGGGTGGTCGAGGGTTTTCAGCGGTTGTGTTAGAGTGGGGCCAGGTTACTGGAGGGTTAGCCAAACGTGTTGAGTTTAAATATTAGGACATGGACACTGTCAGGTAAAAGACAGTGTCTGGGGGATGAGATGGCAAAGGCAGTGGTTGTCAGCATCCCTGGGCCCACACCAGGCTCCAAAGGATGGAAATTGGAACCCAGAGTAGCTGGGCAGCCAGAAGACGTTGGAAAAACTAATAGGACTGCGGGTTCTGAGCTGATCCGTCCTGGGCTTCTGTATCCCAGCTCAGGGCCTGAACCGATGATGTCCTGCCCGGAACTTTGACAACCTGTAAGGAAGTAAGTAGGATCAGCTGGTCGGAGAAAGAACAGAGTCAAGGAGCCACTCAGGTCTTGATGCTGCTGAGAAAGTTGTACAATTGTGATTTTCATGAAGTTGCTTCACCCCATCTTTTCCTTCAAATGTTTTCCAAGATGAATGGGTTAAATCATACTTCGTTGTTTTTTTTTTAAGAGCCTAATCTTCACCTTAACAGAGAATTCTGTGTAATTTCTCAGAAGCCAGCATGGTTCTTTTCATGACAGTCATTTGGCTAGTATTTTTACATCCACAGCCACTTTTAACCACACCTGCTAAATCTGTCATAAATATTTGTTTAATTTATCCTTTATCCTGATGAACCAAACCAAGACCAGAGAACCAGCACTAGAGGAGATTCCCGCCTATCATTAAACATAGAGAAAAACAGGTACAGGAAAAAGGTAAATATGTAGCATAAACCCTCCTTTCTGGTTCTAGTTGGTTGTATGTTGAACATGAATAAGAAATGCTTGCTGGTCAGTGGTAATGATGGGGTACTAGAACAGGCACATTGATTCTAGATACAAGGACAAGTAGCTACAGTAGAAGTCATGCTTCTCACTAAGACGTTTTAGCAGATGATAGGTAAAAAAGCAATTTACTTCATTAAGCATGTACACACAGATCATCTGGGCAGAATGTTCATCAGATCAGAAGCATGTCCAGGCCCTGAGCCCGGGGCTTCCTCCACCCTTTGAAGAGCCTTCTTTTGACCTGTGGTGGACTGCTCTGACTCTGGGCACTCAGAGTAGCTGCAGCCCAGTGCACGGCTCGAGAATCCGCTTCTCCTGAGGCCCAGCCTTGGGAACCTGGGGCGCTGAGTGTTGGGGCAGAGGACAGATTCAGATGAACTGTCACTGTGACTTCTGTTTGGAACCACAGTTCCCCTGTTGGAAAGAAGTTCGACTGCTCTGTGGAGTGGGGAACCCCCGACCAGGCCTGCCACCTCCAGCGTCTCTCTGACGAGGCTCTTGGGAGCTGTGCAGAAAGGTGAGGCCGCAGGCATTGCTTGTTGGGTTCTGTTGCTGGTTCCAAGCATTGGGAGAACTTTCCCCTACTTAGTTGTGACTGTAACAGCATGGCTAAAGAAAAGAGATAAATGCGAGGTCTTCCTGCTCTCCTGTTTGGTTTCATACTGGAGACTGACATCATTGGAAGCACCACAGTTAATAAAATAGCAGCTGCCATTTATTGAACAACTTTCTGTTGTCAATACCTACCCCCACCACCCTGCCACCCACACCAATCCCTCCCTGGCTCACAGTGCTCGTCCCAAAGCCAGAAAGACGCCGAGCCTTAGGTTGACCCATCATTCCTATTCGTCTCCTCCCCATTAAAGGTTTTCACCAAACTGCCAAAAACAAGAGTAATTTAAGTTTCTTCAAATGAAGGTCTTCTAGACTTTGGCCTTTTCATCTGTTTAAACATAGGCTTGGTGGTATATAAATTCTTCAAATTACAGTTCCATCGCCCAAGCTAACTGGGATAACTGGCAGGTAAGCCTCAGCGCAGCTCACGGCTACACTTTCTTTTCAACAGGCTGGATCAAGTGCAGCACCTCCATGAAGAGTGGAGTTGGTGGCGTCACGATGCTCTTTACAGGATACTTCGTTCTCTGTTGTAGCTGGAGTTTCAGGCATCTGAGTAAGCCTTTCTGTATTTTCAGGCTCAATTACTGGTCACATCCCATTAAAGGGACCTCCAAGGGATTCCCCAAACTGCTTCCTGTAGCTTTACAGTTTGGCACAGTTTAGTGCCGCTAGTGAGTGAGCTAGTGCCCGAGGCGCTGGGATTCTTTTTATGAAGAGGTTTTCGGTTATAATGGCCTCTATAAGACTTGACCAGAGTTTACATAATTGCTCTTGTGCTCCATTTAAGGTTGTCACTGGAGATCTGTTTGCCTCCTAGAAGATCGGGCCTCTTCTCCTTGGTGACTTTTTAATACCTTCCTAAGAACTTCTTTTTTAGATTGAAACCGGCTTTCTACCCCAAAACAGAAGAGAAACAGAATACAGCTGTCACTCATCAGCTTATTGCTGTCAGAGTTGATCTACTTTTAGCAATTAAAAAACACCCTTCTAGTTATGAAGTAAATGCCTGGGTTTCATTTCTTTTAATTCAGGATGCCTTTGGCTCGTTTTTTAATGTATTCTAGAAAAATACAGTTAAAAGTTTTAAAAGACATAGAAAGACGTTAAAAGAGCCCCGACACTTTCAGATGAAAACTTTTGATGTAAAAGTACAAGATAACCATTAACACTAATAACAGCCAGTAGAATTCATGAACTCCTAAAACATTGGATCTTTTGGCCAATCAGTGCCAGTGAGCAGGAGGGCAGGCCAGGCGGCAGAGATGGGACTGAAGCTCCACCTGTCCGGTGACTGGTGGCACTGGGAGGGCTGCTCTGACACACCTGGGCATTGGTGAGAAAGAGGAGTTCCTTTCTGACATCCCCACATAAATGGAGACCCAGGACCACTTGTGTGAAAGGGACACCTGAGGTGGTTTTTCACATCTGTAAATTGAGGCTGCAGAAAATGAAGCTGAAACTTCTCACTGTTGGCTAAGACTTGACTTCTCAGTGTAACAGCACGATCTGTAGAGGCAAGGGATAAAAAGTCGATTGAAGTGGGCTCTTGGATCCTTACATGTATCTCTGTTTATCTAAAGAGCTGCCTCGCTGGCGCTAGTAATGGTGACCTGGACGCTACTTCAGAACACGCTGGAGCGCCAAGGAGTGTGGGCTGCAGAGACAGCTGCGCGGCCGGCCATTTTACAGCCTGCAGTTCCACTGGGGGCGGGAAGGTGGGGGGGGGAATAAATTATTGACTCTAAAGCAGTTGTTTAGGAAGTGTGCTTTTTAATGTGGACAGATCTGGCTCTTTGAGGATATTTCTTGGTTTGCTCTCTAAAGTGACTGGAAGTTACTGGAAAAAAAAATCACTTTGTTTTATCATAAAGGCTGGTGTTATTCAGGGGGGCATGACTCCACTTTAAATCTTTCTCCCTAACACCCTCTGAGCCTCGGCACATTACTCTCCATCTGTGCTGGATGCGGAGCTACACATACCTCACACAAGGACAGACTGCCTTCTGAGCATCTCCAGTGCCCGCAGCAGTGAGCAGATGGTTCCGTGCATCGTCTCTTCCCGGAGCCGCCTCAGGACCCTGCCCCTGTCCCGCCTCGGGGCTTTACACTCCTTTCACTCCGTTAGGGTTGTTTTGGGCTGGTGGGTTTTCTGTGACTCTTTCCTCCTTCAAAATAGTCTGTGTTTTTCTAATGTTTTATAATTTTATGACTTCTGCTTTGGCCCTCTAGAGAGTAACTTGGTACTTAGAGATAAAAAAATACCTATCTGTAAATATCCAAAACGGGGATAACTGTTTCTTCAACCCCTTTTATTACTGACCTACTTTGGCCCGCCCCTGTGTGTGTGCACGCATATCTTTTTGCTGTGTTGCCCTCGAGCCAGAGCACGTGAGTCAGGCCCCGCTGTGTCCCAGCTCCTTCCCGTCCCAAAACCGCGGGTGTGCTGTCTGAAGGCCAGCATTTATTTACTTGCACATCTATTCTCAGTGCTTGATTCTAGCTCCACCTTCTGCTTTCTCTGCCTTTTCTGTGCCAGCCCTCTGTTCCTCTCTGTTCCTCTTGAATTGTCCCCAGTGGGAATAAGTTAATACTCCATCAACTTCTCCTGTTTAAGGAAAGGTACACTAGAGTTCATAAGGAAAAATGCATGATTGGGGGAAGGAATACTCTATTTACTTATTTTAGTTTAATATTACTAGGAGTTTAATTGGAACCAAAGCAACCCCCTTTTCATTTGAAAGGGCTCTGTGCCCATTCTTTGTAAATGCCCTTAACAAACACTCAGAATCTCCCTCGGCCTCCCCCTTGGTCCTCACTCTGGGTTAGAAACTCAGGGTAGCCAGTCGACAGTGCCCTTTTTCCCAGTTCCTCACACGCCCACCGCCCGTGTGGTTAGGTGGCTGCTCTCCCTGCAGTGGCTGTGGTTACAGCAGAAACCGTGTGGCCCGCCAGCCTGAAAGTACTCAGCTATCTGGCCCTTTACAGAACAATGTGCCGACCCTGCCCTAGAGGAATAGGACGGCTCACAGTCTCCGTCTCAGTGGTGAAGACAGGGTTGCTGCTTTGAATCATTTTTGGGTTAGCAAACGTTAAAGCAGAAGCCTTTCTTGACCTAGTAGCTTAGTGCCCTAGGGTGGTCCCCTGAACTACTCACAACACGTTAAGTGCGGTGGTAGCCCTGAGGAGCAGCTGGGAGCCCCCCCCCCCAAGGTTTTTATCAAGAACCTTTGTATCACTATTGTAAATAAACTAGGGTCACTAGTCCTCAGAATGTGAAAACACAATGGAAAGGTTCAAGTTAGTTATGCCACAGCAAGTACTTTTACATACCCCTGGAAACAATTCCCTTACCGAGGAGGAGGAACTGGATAATGACCCATCAGTCCTCAAGGGCTGTCTGCTTCATCTTGCCAAGTTTCAGAAAAAGGCAGATCCTCCATTAATGAGAGGGTTTTAGGGTGACATGGTCAGTACCAAGAATCAACAGGAAAGGGCAAATCCTTGCTGATGCCTTAGAATTAGACTGAGCATGAAGTCTTGAAATGATGGCAGTGACTTTGACGCCCTCGGCAGGCTCTCCAGACTCAAGTTACGTGGTCATGTTCAGAGTTAACGGAGGGAACGGGCTCCCCGTCTATTCATTGCTGCTGTCTGAGGTGGGGAAATATTTGACCTTTTAGCAAATCTTGTAAGAATTTCTTCGTAATGTTCAAAGTAGTTGAAAGTTGTTGAGGTCAGTGGATGATCACTTTTCTTCCTTGACTGAGATGTAAACTTAATGATCAAGGAATGTACTTCATAGCTCTAGTTTGCAGTATTGGTATAAGCTTGCCTTCTGAGGATACATTCGTTGTTCTTATGTGCAAATGCCCCTACCAGATAAGTTCGTTTCCATGCCAGTCCCTAATGATGTGTGTGATCTGGCAGAGTAAAGGCGCCATCCAGAAGGACTACAGAGACTGTTCAGAATGAGTTGTAGGTGAGTGAGACCGCCACATGCAGAAGCTTCAGGTCGGAGGCAGGAGTAACTGTCTCTTCACAAAGTCAGAGACGAGGAAGCATGCTCTTTACGTAGTTTGCCATTTTAAACAGCCTCCTGAGTTTTGTCTCTTAAAATCATGCTCCACATCTTCCATGGAATTGGCAGGAGCTTCCCTAGCTGAGCAACGGTGCTTAGACTTGTCTTCCAGAGCAGCAGCGTGAAGTCCAGACCATCTTCCAGCACAGAAAGCCGGCCTGAGCCCACCTGGGCGATCCCTGGCCACCTTCCTACCTGTCCCACGGACGGCGATGCCTGGGCCCCTCGCCGGTCTGGAGAAGATTTCCAGGAAGGCTCCGAGACTAAAGGCTGCAAGTATTCGCGGGCGTGCCTGAGCCCTGGCGGCAACCCACGTGGTCTGTGTGGGGTAGATTACCCCTGGTGCTGCCTCCTTGTGTTTAATCCTCAGTCTTCATTTAATGTCTGACACACTGAGTTGACTGGATAAAGTACATTTTCTCTAACACATTAAAATTTCAGCTATTAGAAATAAAGCTGTTTTGTTTTACTCTCAGTGGGGGGCTTTACACTTAATGGGGAACCCTATCCGCTGCCACTGTTCTTATCAGTCCTTTTCACCCCGATTCACAGATTTTCCCGGTGAACTCCCCATACCTGCTCTCACCCCGTGTGCCTCCTACAGAGTACCACCACCATTCTCTATTTAAAAAAAAACTTTAAGTAAAAAACAGTGCTCAGTTCTGACTATTTGCCTCTTCCAGACCCTCACCTGTGTCCTTGGGCAAGTTATCTTCCCTCTTGGAGCCCCCTTGGTCTGGACTGTAAAGCCCTAACTTACAGAGATTTGGTGGGATCAGAAGTCTCCCACCTATGAGTTACTGCCAGGTCTGACAGTCGGCATTAAAATAGCAGCTCTTCTAAAACCTGGTGACGTCACACTCAGACTGCAGACTGGAACCAAGCTGAGAGACCACCACAACCCTCACAGCGCCCAGCTACTGCTGGGGTGCGTGCTTTGTCAGCCCCAGGTGCTGTGCAGAGTCCGCACGTGCCTTCTCTCTCGTCCTCCACCCGCCCTGTGAGGCAGGTGCTGTTGTGCTCGTTTTCCAGAGTGAGGAATCAGATGTGAGGAGGGTGAGTAGTGTGCCTACAGAGCTGTGTGGCATTTGTTGCAAAGCGGCCCCAGGTGGAGCTGGCACTCAGACCCCCAAACCTGTCCCCTGGGCCAGCATTCTTCCAGGCTGCCGTACCCCTTCCCCTCCAGCTCTGGCACAGAGAGTTGTCTCCACCCACCAAAGAGAAGGGGCTAGGCACACCTTGTCTAGGAGCTCTTTCCTCCATTTCCCCCAAAAGGCACAGCTTAGTGTCCCCCTCCCCAGGGGATTAAATGCCTCCGGGTTCACTTCTCCAACAGCTTAGACTGTACAGCCCTGAATGTCCCCTGTCACATCCTGCCTCCTGGGATGAGCCTTCTTTGTACCATCCATCTCCCTGTAATTCCCTGCACCTGGCAAGCACAGACTACAGCCTTAAATTAAGCCATACAGGGAAGCTGCAGTTGTGCTAAAGAACACCACTTAATTGCCGGCTTGTAGCGGCCTCCCCGTGTGCACAGGAACCGCTGTGTGCAGCCCCGACTTCCCTGCAGGCAACGGGCTGAGCAGAGCAGGACGACTATTTCTGTAAACTTGAGCTTCTGCCTTTACACACATTCTGCTCCCCCATTTAACTCGTCCTGCCACAATCTGCCTCCAAGTCTGTTGTATAGTAGCTTGTTCACTTACAGAATAAGCAAATAAACCTAAAGGCAGCAGGCTACTCCTCATCCTGTTCAGGCCAACAGGGGGCGCACGGGGACATTGAGCGCTGAGAGGCCGCAGAGAGGCCGCAGAGAGGCCGAGGAGGTCCCCACAGACACATCCTCCGCTCCCGCAAACATGCGGGGGGCTGTGTTTTGATAGCTCTTCCCCTCTCGGTCTTACTGTGGTGAAGGGCACACCGACCCATCTTCAGCACTGACAGAGGAAAAGTTAACGGCAATGGCGTGAGCTTTTGTAAATTCAGACTCCAAAAGAAAAATCCTAAATCTAAGGAACCAGAGGAGGAAGTAGCTGGTTTTCTGAGGAATTTGGTGGTTTCTCACAAGTGAAACCCCACCTTGGGCCCGAAAGAGGCCTAGAGCTTCGAGCCAGGCCTCGCTATCCCAGAGAACAGGGCTCCGGACACTCGAGGGCTGGTAAGCGTATGAGGAAGGCAAGGGCCGGCCCTTGCCTCTCATCCTGACGGTGGTCTCTGGCAGAAGAGAGAGGTCAGGGCTGGGGCAATGTAGAGGCTGCCTCATTAAGGTGGGATCAAACATGATGTCCTGATAAGCCAGAAGACAGCAAGAAAGAAAACCAAGGTGCTACGTGCCCGCCCTCCCAGCCTCCCTCCCGAATCTGAAGGACGATACAGATCAATAACTGCAGAGGATTAGTAGGCAGCAAAATAAGATGTGAAGGATATTTAACTTCGTAGCCTTTTAAAGAAATTAAGTCTTGTCCGGCAGGCGGTAAAAATACAATTGGAGTGTTGAGACTTCCCAGTCAACATTTGGTTTACCAGGATCCCCTCCTTCCCTTAATTCACACTCCTAAACCCAAGTACTGTTTTCCTACCTGTGGCAGGAAAGGAATCAGATTCCGCAGCTAGTGCCCCACCCCACCCCCCCAGCCCTCAAGAGAAAACAGCCTGAACCCCTCAGCTCCTACTCACCCTGTAGCACAGGCCCTGCTCCTGAGCCCCGAGCCCCAGGCAGTAGGGGACCAGCTGCTCCTGGGGCCTCACTGGAGTGGGGAGAGGTAGCCACTCTGTCTGGAAAGGGGGCTTTCGAGGTCCCCAGGTAGAGGCAGGAGGTGCTGACGCCCACGGCCTGTTGAGCTGTAGATACAGGGACTGCATGAGGAAGCGGAGACACTGCAGGCATTCCTTCTGTGCGGACATGGCAACTTCATGCCACGGGCAGGGGCTCTGGCCAGGCGTTCAGGCAGAGCCAGGTTCTGAAATATGCCTTTCTTTACCGTATGCTTTAACTGCCAAAGCATACCTTTTGGTGAAAGTTAGCCATGGGCTTAGGAATTCCCCAGTTACTGAACATGGCGTCCCACCTTCAGCGGAGATGCCACATACCACCGGCAGGGGTCGCCCTCCCCCCATGCCATGGCCATCCCAGCCAGGCCTGGGCCCTCTTGCAATCGACCTTGGGATGGCTAATAATTAACAAGAGCTCAGCTGCAGTCATTGTTGAGTCCCAGACTTTACAAAAGCAGGGTGGAGGCAGTTTGGGCCCACAGGCTGTGGTTTGCTGACCCAGAGGCTGTTTTCAGTCCTGGTATCCGTAGGAAGAGTTCTGTTCTCCTGGGGACCCCTCACAACCAGGATGGCCCTGGCTCACCTAACAACTTTGCACCCCAAGTCCTGAGCGGGGTCCATGTTCTCTAACAAAACCACCCATGTGTTAGCCAGCTAAGGAAAAGGGGAAGCCTTGGGGACAGAAAACTGAGAAGTCCTATCTGAAGCAGAGATTATGGAGGCCAGAGGGGTCTGGGAGGAACAACCACACGTATGTGCCCTTCCCCAAGATTGGGACACAGAGCCAATCCTGTGAGAGTGAGAGCAGCTGGGGACAGTGCCATGCTAGGAACTCCGAGTTCCCAGGGAACACAGGCAGGAAACAGGGTGAGACGTGTCAGCCCCTCCCTGCCTGCACTCACCTTCATGTAACTTGGGTTGAATAAAAGACTCATCTTGGGGCTGAGGAAGGAGAGACAGATGATTACAGCCAGGCTCCCTAGCCCACCTGTTGCCTGTTCTCTGATGGGCTCTGCACCAGTGGCGGCAGATTGCACGTCCCAGAACCCCAGGAAGGAGCCTGACTCTTTCCGGGCAGTGAGCAGAGGTGCAGAGGATTTGGGAGTTAGACACTTCTACTGTTATTTCTTGACCGGTTCGTGCAGAGCTGCCTGCCCATTCCCGGCAGGAACGCACATCAGCAGCATGGGTCAGAGTTCAGTGCAGCCAACAGCACTGCAGAGGGATGGGTGTCGGGGAGCAATGCATGGAAGTCACTGGGCAGGTGCTTGTCAGACCCTTCCTTTCCCACCTTGGCCCAGTGAGGCTACGGAAGGATCTAGATCTGGAAGCCAGGGGCGGGGAGCAGGGCAGCACTCGGTGGGATCATACTTACTGTGCATATTGGCACTTGGGTCCCTCCGGGCAGAAGCCAGCTAAGTAGTTAGTACACATTGTCTTATGGACATGGCGGTATTTACACAGGGGACCTGCCGGGGAAAGAGAAACCGGCCCAAAGAACCTGCTTTAGCAAAGAGGAGAAAACAAGTGATGCAGCTCGCTGGGGCGGGGGGTGGGGTGGGGTGAATGGTCAAAGGCTGTCCCCTTAACAGGTGTGTATATCTTCCCATCCTTTCCATGCTGCCCTGGAGTGCCAGCTTCCTAGCCACGTGGTTGAGATGGGAAAGCGAACCTTGGACTGTGAAGGGCGGGAAGTGTCCCTAACACGCTGAGTCTCGAAGGACTGGCATAGGTGTGGACTGTCCTATGAGGCTGTCCGAGGAGGCTGTCCTATGTTTGTTTAGCCACAGAAGGAACAGCTGAGGCAAGGCTAGCCCCACAGATCTCACTACCCTCCTTCAGCACCCCTCCCCTGTGACCACCCCCCAAAAGCAACCCTGCCAAGCACTCGGTAAGAACAGCATACCTGAAGGCTCAGGAAGAGCAAGGACTCAGATGCTCAGAGCAGGGACTCTAATGCAGTCCCTGTCTCCTAAGTCTGGCTGACTGTAATGGGGTAGGTGGAACTGCTTGAGGGACACTCAGGGCACCCCAGCTGGGTAAACTGAGGGCCCCCTCTGGGCCAGACCCTGTGCCAAGGGCTCCCTGTGGGGTCCTACATCTAAGCATCCTGGCAACCCTAGGTGGGAGGCATCCCTCCTTTTCATAAGTGAGGAAACAAGCAGTTCAGTCATTTGTTCAAGGTCAAGCAGCTAGTGTCTCCTGAAGCCATTGAACCTGAGTAAGCCAGGCTACATGTCCTAGTGTCACAGAGACCTGTCCCATGGGACTGAGTGTGAGAACTATGGAGAGGACTTCGGTTGGGATTTCAGCCCAGGGGCGGACAGACCTCACTGCAGCGGGGCCTCGTCAGCACCATGCATCCTCCCCGCAGGGAGACCACTCATTCTGGTCACCCACCTCCTCTGCTGCTCCCATTCTGTCAGGGCCTCACCGTCTTTGCAGAAACCTTGGTCATACCAAGGACAGTCCTGGGTCTTGAAAGCAGTGTTCGTGTGAAGAAAGTGACATCCCTTGTTGCTGCACTTACCTGAAAATTCCAGCAGGCTTTGAATATAAGCAGGCTCATTTTCCCGGTCACATCTGCCCTCCCACACTGAATTGACCCCGTCCCTCGAATAGCAGCCACTTGCCCTCCTGTGGTCACCAGCAGCTTTGGAAGACAGTAAGGTATTTCTCATCCTTCCTGCAATCTAAGAGGGGTGGACCCCAATAATGTTCACTCAGCAGGACTTGGGGTGAATACACATATTTGAGGGAGTTGGGGTAGGGCCAGATATCCAGGAGGTGGGGGCTGGAACTGAAGGCATTTAGACACCACCAGGGAAGAAGGAACTGGGAGAGAGGGGAAGGGGCACCCAGAGCTGGCAGCTAAAGGCCTGGGAAGACACAAGACACTGAATGGAGATGTTGCCATGTGCTGTGACTCAAGCCCACTCTCCCTCTCTACAATGAGATCAACCCCGCCTCCAGCATCTGGGCGTGCATCTCTTTTCGGTGAAATCGCCCAGAGAGCAGACCACTGCTTCCGAGGTGGCACAGGGACAAAGACGGATGCTGCAGAGAGAACACCTGTGATTGCTGTAACGTGTCTGTGGAAGAGACCAAGACCCACGGCCCCTGGAAGGAACGCTGTTTTCATAGATTACTCATGCCTTACAGTGAGAACCCTCTTAGATGTCTCTTAGGGACCCAGGGGCTTTGAAGGCACCATGGGGGAAGACAGCCCATTTCCCATCTCATTCAAGTCAGGAATTGGTGTTTCCAATGTCATCCTCCTTAAAAGTCTATGACTCTGTGCCTTTCAGAGCCAAAAGAAACTGCATACTGTCTGTGCCATTGGTTTTCAAACGGCCCCAAAGAGGTCAGTTTGGTGCAGTGGGTTTCTGCACTGCAAGGGTTCCCCTGAACCCAGCCCTCTCGTTTCACAAACGAAGACGCCAGTGACCCGGCAGGGGAGCTGTCGTGCTCATTTTTCACGGGGCTTCCTCCTCACACTGACAAGGCATCATTCGCTTCCTCATTGCCAGTGTGCAGCTAACTCTGGGCTCTAGCAGTCTAAGGAATCGAAGCAACGCCCCCACCCACCCCCCAAACAAGCGGGGCTAGGAAACACTTGATACGTGTTGCCTTTCCACCCTGGACGCGCGTCTCTGCATTCCTCTTACAGCCAGCAGGTGGCGCCCGCACCTCATTCTCCAGAGGTTCCCAGCCGTGACCCCTCTTCTGCACCCGGGTAGTTTTTTGATGAGCAACAGCCAGGAGCAGAGCCAAAGACCACAGTCTTCCTCACCCCTCTCAACTGCCCCTTTCCACTCTGACAACTCCCTAACAATATTTTTAAAAATAAAACAATTTACTTCCCATAAGAATGATAATTACTTTGGTGTGAGATTAGAAAGAGATATTTGTTCACTCACTGTAAGAGCAAAAACATACCTTACGTGTTGTAATCACCAATTTACATGCCTGCCCTTCACAATGTGAGTTATTTGAAGGCAGAAGGAGACCTGGTCCTATTCCTGTATCCACGTCCAGCACAGTACTCAGTCCCCAAGAGAAAACCAACGGGGGTTATCGCAGGAGCAAATGAGTGGTATTCCAAAGTGAAAGAGGGTTAGGCAGTGACTACGGGGAGCCTGGACTTGTCCTGTCCTTCAAGGAACACATGTGGGCAGCCCTCATGAACTGCCACAACTCAACTCCGAGGAGCAAGCAGGAAACAGATTTTAGCCTAGGAGGAGCTCCTGCTGACCTGAGGGGGTGCTTTGCATTATTCCCCCATACCCAGGACACCCCCTCACTAATGAGAAACACCTGCCCCTAGTGCTGGCTCAGTTTCGAAGCCATGCCACCTCCATCAGAGGCGTCCCTGGAAACTGTCCCAGCCCTCTCCCTCTCTGGGCCACTCTTTCTGGAGCACGATTTGAAAACCACTGGACTAGATAATCCTCCAGTCTCCTTCCAGTTCTGAAAAGCACCGAGCTGTAGCATTCTATGGAGAAGGATGAGATGGAAACACATTCACAGATTTCATGCCTAAGTGAGGCAGGAAGTGGCCATGGCTCCCGCCTCCACACGCAGCCCCTTAGATGACGAGAGAAGGACCTGAGAGGTAAGGTGCTGGCCCAGCCCTGACCGCACATGATAATTTTAGGGGCTATACTTATGAAGCTCATGGTGTTTGTTTACAGTTGCTCTTTATGGACAATGAGTGAGGCTAGTTTTCCATTTATGGAAGCAATATAAAGTTTTCTTCTAAAATAAGAGTTTAAAATAGCAGGACAATTGAAATAGACAATGGCGCAGGTCAATGGGACAGGTGCCTTTCGGGAATCACAAGCATCATCGCCAAAGTGCCCCCTGCTGTTTGGGAACTGCTGGCCTGGACCCTAGCCCCCAAGCCTGCGGGAGAGAAATGGCCCATTCTAGGCTGTTTCCGGACAGTGAGCATGACTTAGCCAGGAGTGCAGAGGGAAACAATTCGGCCTTTGATTCCAACTGTACCCTCTCCTTCCCTTGGGGTAAGCCGTGTGTGCCTGAGCCTGATGGGGACAGATAAACAGGGACCAGAGTTCAGCTCCACTTTCTCTGTGGCACTGGAGACGCAGGTGTCTCAGACGGGCCTGCTCTGCCACCTGAGACATGGAAGGCCTCCTTGGGGTGTCCCTCCACACATCTCATCCCATCCCACAGCCCCTGCTGCTATCCTTCAGGGGAAAGGGCTGGAGTCAGGAAGGGGCATTACCGAACTTGGAGAAGAAGTAACACTCGGGCATCCTGGTGACATCGTACTGGTGCAGAAACTTGCACTGGTCGCCCTTCTTGCACAGCCCACGAAGCCAGTGCTTACACACTACCATCTTCACCCCTCGGTCATGCCGGAACGGGCACAGCTTCCCTGGGGACCAGAGTGGCCAGCTGGGAGCCCCTCACTCAGAGCCTGGGCCCTCTTACCTGTGGGTCAGACCCACCTACCCTCCTTTTGTCCCCTCCCCTGGACCCTGGTGGCAGCTAGAACTGGGGGGCCAGAGGTGACCTACTGTTGTCTGAACAGGTGGCTGTTCCCATGACCACACCTTTGCCCCAACTTTCCTCTCTGCCTGGCGTGGTGCCCCCGTCAACTCCAGGCTGTACAGAGAACCCCTCTGGCCACTTACAGCCCTCTAGCCTCCAGGCTCACGGTCAAGGCTCCTCCCAGAGAACAGAGCCATGATTTCCAGCCCTGGACACCCCCAGCCCCCACAAGCGCCATCCCTGTCACATACTAATTGCTCATTAAGGGTCTGTTGAATTCATGTCTTTAAAAAAAAAAAAGTTATGCTTCCTGATTCCAGAGACCTAACGTGATAATGATGGAAGAGCCAACTCTGCAAAGATTTAGAAACAAATGGGAATGTGATATTTAACTCTTTATCATCTTCGCCAACATGGTGTCACCATCAGCAGGAAGGACACCCCAGTTTCCAAGTTTCTAAGTGAGACTGGCCTCATGCATCTGATAGAATTTGAGGCGGGCCCAGGAAGCTTCTTTTAAAATTGCCTTACCCTCCACCCCTGGCCATTGGCCTGCTTGGATCTGACCTTCCACAAAAGCAGTTGTATTTCTTTGCAAGAGGATGGCACTGTGAAACACTGCTCCAGAGACAGCGTGGGCCAAGCTGAGGACAGGGCCCAAGGCTGAGCTCACGTCCCTTCTCACCCCGTCATCCAGGGACCGCCCAAAGACAAAAAGAGGCATGTGGCAAAAACGGCTCCAGGTCCCCCCTGCCTGGGCCCCTTTTCCCTCCCAGCTTCCCAAGAACAGACACGCTTGAAACCCAAAAGCAGGCCCTAAACGCATCCACACCAGTGAGGGTACGTACGTAACCTGGGCCTACAGATGGACTAGGAAGCTCCACCTTGGAAGCAAGACTTTGGGGGGCAACTGTGTATTTCTATAGGAAGAGCGGGGTTCATGAGCTAGAAGAAAAGCTGAGAACTCCTGCATTTGAGTCAGGCTCTTGGGGCAGAGGAGCTTGAAGAGGGTGCTGCTTGATCCAAACTGGGGCGGCAGAGAACTGGAGGTGCTTGCTGGCAGCATTTCAGAGACTTTGGCCAGAGCTACCTCGGGGCATAGGGAATGGATGGGACAGCTGAGCGGCCCCATACTGATTCAGAAGACAAGAGAGGGGGCAGGATGCCACTCCTCAAGCTCGGGGTGGGGGTGGGGCAGGAATAAAGAGGTCAGGGCTCTCCCGGAGCACACAGGCTGGAGCCCACAGACACTGCCACGCCCAGCAAGGCAGGAAGAAGGAATGTTCCCTTCCAGGCAGCTCTGGCCACCCAACTCAATGCTGCTGAGTCCGGGAAACCCTTGGAGCTCAGGCTTCTTGGTGGGCCCACCGACTTGCCCATTGCCCACTTATAAGATTAAAATTCTATCCCATCCCCACCTTCCATCCCCAGGTACAAATCCAACCTCTATCCAGGCTAAGGTGAGCCCTGTGTCAGTCAGACACAGCTGCTGCTGCCACCCCAGCCCAGGCCCCCAGCCGACCCACCTTTCTCACAGAGCCCTTTAGCGAAGAAGTTGCACACAGCTGAGCCCGACTCTGGAAGGGGAGAAAGGAAGAGGGGCAGCTTCCCCAGAGGGCCTCTACCCCATCAGCAAGTCCCCCGGTACCTCCCCAAGTCTGGGGCTCGGGGCCCCCAAGTACTGCCTTTGGATGCTGGCCTCTGGAACCAGCCCCTGAACCTCAACACCTGAGTTCTCCAACTCTGCTCCAGAGGCCATGGCAGGGCCGAGGCCAACCTGGGAGCTTTCTCTGGAATCCTGCAAGGGATGTAGGAAGGCAGGGCTGAGCCCCTCAGAAGAGAGTGGCTAAGCTAGAAATCCCAGGCTGTGGGCCCAAGCCCCCAGCTCAGTCCCTCTGGTGAGCCGCAGAGAGAAAGGGCCAGCCGTGCCCAGCAGGATGCTGAGCAGAGGCCTGCAGAGCAGGTTGGGGGAGGGAGGATGGGGTCGTGCAGGGTCCCCAAGAGGGATGGCTGGTACCCATCCTCACTCACTGTCCATGCCCTGGAAAGGCAGGAGCCCAATGCCCTTTTGCATCTCTACATCCTTCTCCAAGGTGAAGGTGAAGCTCTGCAGCCCTGCAATGACCTCTTCCATCTTCCATCTCCTGCTGGGGCAGCTGAAAGCTGCTCAGCCGGCAGGTGGACCCTATATAGCCCACAGAGGCCCTTAAGGGGCCAGGGTCTGATGCCAGGGGCCAGGTGACTGTCAGGCCATACTCTAGGTCCAGCTGTCTACCCTCTCCCATCTGATGCAGGTGCAGATGCCCCAGGACCCCACACCCCGACGCTGTGTAAGTCAGTCCCATCCCAGCACGCACTCCTGCTTGGGAGGGATTAGCAGAGACCCACATGCTGCTTATCTCTGCCCGTTCCCAAACCCACACACAGCATATGCACAGGCATTACCAAACCTGCACTCATACTTTCAACATGAAGACACAGCCCAGGTTAGCTAGAGAAGTTGCACAAACCAACCACAGCCAGGCTCTGCTGATTCGCTGGCGCCTGGGAGCCAGAGGGTGTGGGGGCGGGGCCGGGGTGCAGAGGGATGGAGGCCCCTCTCCCCCGCCGCCCACTTCCCTCCAACCGGGCCCCAGCCAACCCCTCCCTCTGAGACTCCTGACACCCCTTTTTTTGGCCTGAGTGACAAGCTCCGAGGGAGCTCTTCATGGGAGAGAGGGAAGAGAGACTGAAACTCGGAGGAATCGGAAATAGTTGGATGAATGGCGCTTTGTTTACCCCGCACACAATCGCGCGCTGGGCTGGGGGTGGAACCAAGCCGAGGCTGCGGCCTCCCGGCCAGGATTCCACAGGGCCACCCCAGCGCCTCCCCGCCCCTGAGAAAGTGCTTTGTAAACGAAATCTCTATGCAAATGTTGTTTTATTATTATTACGCCACCCCTTCCCCCCGGGCCTGGGGACATCTGAAAATGCTTTCAAAGGCGCTTTGTAGGGCTCTAACTAGGGCAGGCCTCCCCTCCCCCCGGCTCTGGCCCCCTAATTGGCCTTCGCTCTAACTGGAACTGCTGTTTTCCAGTCGCTTTGGAGCCGATACCCACAGAACCCAATTGCCCTCCCTCCCGGTCCAGCAGGGAGAGGGGGGCCTCGCCCTGCAGGTCCGCAGCAGGACCAACAAGAATGAGCCTGCTGGCTTGTGTCTCCCCGGGGCTGTGGCTCCTAGTTTTGTTGTTCTTTTGAACTCGGGATCAGAAAAGAAAATAGCTGGAGAGGTAGACACCTGGAGCCGAGGCAAAGCCCGGGCAGGCTGGAAGGGGATCCAAGACTTTCCAGAAGCTCGGGCCTCCCTCCAACCACATTCCCAGGAAGGCGGAGGGCGGAGCTGCGGCCGGGGGCCGCGGAGGGTCGTGTCCCAGGGGAAGACAGACGCCCTTGCTTCTCTTGGCCCTATTTGTGTGCACCCATTAGTGCAAGAACGCATTCCTCTGTCAACACAGGCTCGTTGAAGGCCCACACCAACTTGGCAAGGCAGACAGGCAGGCAGATAAGGAAATCAAGGCCCAGCAAAGCCAAGGGCATATGTTGGGGAGGTAGTAACAGTGGAGTTCAAATCCACAGCTCTTGATGGTTTCCTTCCATGAACATCAGAGGGCCATCTCTACACTGGGGACCTGGGACCTCGCGGAACAAAGGACTGTGTCACTGCCCCTCAGGAATGACCCGATCAAGTGGGGGCACATTCAACAGCATAATTATACAAAGGGGTGATTGCTGACAGTGTGGTGATGGCAAGGGGGGAGCCACCTAAGCAGGGGACAGAGAGGGGTGGCAGGGAGGGCTCTCAGGGGGAAGCCTGGGCATGGTCGGGGAGAACATCCTGGAAGACAGACCCCCTGGACAAGGCACGGGGCCATGAGGTAACGAGTCAGCCCGAGGGACCAGTCAGGGGTTTGGCTTGGAGGAAGCATGGATTCAGAGAAGGGGAGTGGTGGGTGACAAGATTAGGAAGTAAGTAGGGCCTGAACCTGGAGTGTCTTTTAGGACTTGGTGGGGTGTTTTGTTTTGTCCTGTTTTTTTGTTTGTTTGTTTTTTGTTTTTTGTTTTTCTTATCTTGGAGAAAGGCAATGAAAGGCCTGGGGAAAACTAGGAGAGCAACACACGGGCCCCTGAGTAGGCTTATGGGGGAAATTCAGGGGCAGGAGGCTGCCTGGAGGGTGATACCTAATCACAGAGCCCGGAGATATAGCCAGAGGTCCTCCCAGCCTGCTAGGGGCAGGAGAGTTCGTCCTGAGGCTGAGGAAGAAGGAAGCTCCAGCAGAGACTGCTCCGTCCATGCACCCTAGTGTCTCCTCCTCTTCTAGTCAAGGGCCCGCCTTCCACCTGGACTCCCATGCCACCCCTGGGTGCCTGGGAGCAGAAGGTGTGGGGAGGATATCACATAGATGGGTGCCCTTCTCCCAAGTCGTCATTATAAGAATGACAGCACCTGACATTCATGGTTTTTGTTTCTCCAAAATCCCTTCTGTAGTGGGTTGAATTCCCCCCCCAACACAATCCAAGTCCTGACCCCTGGTACCCGTGAATGTGACCTTATTTGGCAGTGGGTCTTTGCAGGTGTCATTAAGGATCTCCAGGTGAGATCATCCTGGAATTAGGGTGAGTCCTAAACAAAAGGACCGGTGTTCTTACAAGAAAAAAGAGGGAGATTTGAGACACACACAGTCACAAGAAACCTGGAGAAGAAGACCATGTGAGGACAGAGGAGGAGACCGGGGTCAGCCAGTGGCCTTGGAACACTGAGGAAGGCGTGCCGGCCCCCCACCCCCAGGTGCCAGAGGGAGCCAACGCCCTGATCTCGGACTTCTGGCCTCCAGAACCGTGAGAGAAGCCCACTTGTGTTGTTTGAAGCCCCCACCTTTGCGGTGATTGTCACAGCCGCCCCAGGACACTCGGAGCGTTTCATTTAGAAATTCGGTTTCGGAAGACCTCACTCACCCCTTTTACAGATGAGCAAATAGAAATACAGAGACCTTGAGTGACTGCCAAGGGCCCACAGCTAATGGGTGACAACTGGGGGTCTGCCCTGGGTCTCCCACCTCGCAGGCCCTCTGTCTCAGTCCCCCTCCCCCGTTTATATTGCCACCTCACGGCTGCCTGGTGCACCAGCAACCCCTGTCCTGGCGATGTCCTTCCGGAACCTCACAGTCTGCTCTTCTGGGCCCTGAAGCTTCTCCCCAGCACTGTGTTTTCATTGATTAATTAATTCATGGCTGCAAAGTGGACGCGTAAATCGCTGTGCAAACAGTGGTGTTAATTTTTAATCACCATCATTATGAGGCTCTCATCTAACTCCAGCTGCAGCTTTCCTCAGTCATCACCCTGCCCCTCTCCCTGGATAAACGAGTTGCTCTGAGCTTCTGCAGGGGGTGCAGGGAGCCCTAGAATTCTCTGGCTGCCAGGGGCTGGCAGGGGTCATTGTGCCCAGCCCTGCGGCCTTGGACCAGCCACGGCCAGTGCTTCCCTGGGCGAAATGTGGCCACGCCCTCCCTTCTGGTGCCTCTGCATAGGCCTGTCTCCCCACCCCCCACTTGGGCACCCTGAAAGGGCGAGACTGGCATCGGTCAGGCCAGGGTTCAAATCCTAGGCAGGTCATTTAATCAGCAATCTGAGCCCCAGAGATGACCCTCCCTAGCGGGACCTCCTTGGGGGGGGGCTGTCAGTAATGACATATGACACGGAGAGCAGTCCTTCCTGGGGGAATGCATTGAGAGGCACCCCCACACTTGGGGTGTGTGGCTGGGTGCTCAGGGCCCCAAGCGTCCTGCCCTCAGGTCCGAGGTGCCTCCCCTCCTTCGCATCGATTATTCCTAAGGGTCCTGAGGGGAGGTGCTGTGGGGCAGGGGCTCCGTGCTGTTCAGTGCCTCTGAAGGGGTTGCCCTGAGTCCACCAGGGATGGGCTGGGTCGCCACGGTGCTGGGAGGGGGTGGGGTCGGGAGGAGCCCCTGTGACCCACAGCTGCTGCCGCTCAACCCCAGGGACAACGAGCCAGTGAGCCCTGCCCTCTCCGTTGCTCTCGTGCCCCAGAGATGCCACTTGGTGGGGACAGCTGCTGACCTCACCAAAGGCATTTGAAGGGCAGGGCAGTAACATGCAGCAGCCAGGATGGTCCTGCTCTGTCCTTGCCCGGGAGCCCAGTCTCTGAGCGTCAGGGGCTTCTGGAAGCTACACTCCTGACAGGCATCTCTCCCCGGGGACTGGAGCATAGTAACGGGACTCCCGAGCCTCCCCAGCTGCTCACAGGGCCTCTTCCAGTGCTCACTGTCGCTGTGCAAGCTGCTTCTACCCATTTCATAGATGAAGAAACCAAGGCCCAGAGCGGTGAAAAGATTGCCTAAACTCACACAGGGACCTCGATGTCAGAACAGGGACCTAGAATCCCAACCTTTGCTGCCAGTGACGAGGACTTAACTGGTGGAGGTTCACTGTTATGCTGTGTTTTCTCTCATCCCCACCAAACCCCATGAAGAGAGCTGTCGTTATTCCTCTCCTACAGTCGAGAAAACAGAGGCTCTAAGGCTTTGCAAGGGCCACCAGCTCAGTCTGCCCCCGCCCCAAAGCCAAGCTCCTCCAGCCTGTTGAGCTGTAGAGCAGACCGGCAGTAGTGTGGGGCGAGAAAGGAAGGGTGGAGGTGTGCGTGCAGGGGTCCTGGGAGGGGCGGGGGGGTGAGCAGTGTCCTGAGAGTGTGACTGGGCCTCTGCGTGGGCACGAGGCTAGTACTTCAGGTCTGAGAGTCCAGGAGACAGGACATTTGGCGCTCAGGGAGCCAGCCCTGGCCCAGGGAGTGTCTGGATAGGTTTTCCCCTACACTCTCGCCACCACCAAGGGTCTCGGTCTTCAGCTCACCCTTCCCTCCCCTCTGCTTCTGTGCCCAGAGCCCCTCGAGGCTCAGCAGAGGCTCCCTAAGCCTCCTGGGGCTCAGAGGGAAGCCTCCATGGCCTGGCTCCACTCACTGCCCTGTGCCCTGAGGAAAGGTAGTCCGGTCGTCACCAGCAGCTCAGGGGACATTGCAGGCCCGGCAGCACCAGCAAAATGAGTTGGCAGAAGTGCAGGATGGGACCGGCTCAGGTTACACTCTGG